TTTCATCAAGGATCTTTCTGTACTTTGCTCCGTTCATCTTTCCCTCGATCCTGACTAGTCTCCCAGTCCCTGCCACTGAAAAACATCCCACAGCATGATGCTGCCACCACCATGCTTCACCGTAGGGATGGTGCCAGGTTTCCTCCAGACGTGAAGCTTGGCATTCAGGCCAAATAGTTCAATCTTGTTTCTCATGGTTAGAGTCCATTAGGTGCCTTTTGGCAAACTCCAAGCGGGCTGTCATGTGTATTTTACTGAGGAGTGGCATCCGTCTGGCCACTCTACCATAAAGGTCTGATTGCTGGATTGCTGCAGAGATGGTTGCCCTTCTGGAAGGTTCTCCCATCTCCACAGAGGAACTCTGGAGCTCTGTCAGAGTGACCATTGGGTTCTTGGTCACCTCCCTTACCAAGGCCCTTCTCCTCCGATTGCTCAGTTTGGCTGGGTGGTCAGCTCTAGGAAGAGTCTTGGTGGTTCCAAACGTCTTCCATTTAAGAATGATGGAGGCCACTGTTCTTGGGGACCATCAATGCTGCAGACATTTTTTGGTACCCTTCCCGAGATCTGTGCCTCGACACAATCCTGTCTCGGAGCTCTACGGACAATTCCTTTGACCTCATGGCTTGGTTTTTGCTCTGACATGCACTGTCAACTGTGGGACCTTTTATATAGACAGGTGTATGCTTTTCCAAATGGAGTGTTTATGGACATATTCAATCTCTCCCTATCCCAGTCTGCTGTCCCCACTTGCTTCAAGAAACTGTCTGCTGTCCCCACTGTACCCAAGAAAGCAAAGGTAACTGAACTAAATGACTATCGCCCCGCCCCGTAGCACTCACTTCTGTCATCATGAAGTGCTTTGATAGGCTAGTTAAGGATCATATCACCTCTACCTTACCTGACACCCTAGACCCACTTACATTTGTTTACCGCCCCAATAGATCCACAGACGATGCAATCGCCATCGCACTGCACACTGCCCTATCCCATTTGGACAAGAGGAATACCTATGTAAGAATGCTGTTCATTGACTATAGCTCAGCATTCAACACCATAGTATCCTCCAAGCTTATCATTAAGGTCGGGGCCCTGGGTCTGAACCCCGCCCTGTGCAACTGGGTCCTGGACTTCCTGACGGGCAGCCCCCAGGTGGTGAAGGTAGGCATCAACACCTCCACTTCACTGATCCTCAACACAGGGGCCCCACAAGGGTGCGTGCTCAGCCCCCTCCTGTACTCCCTGTTCACCCATGACTGCATGGCCATGCACGCCTCCAGTTTACAGACGACACAACAGTAGTAGGCCTGATTACCAACAATGACGAGACAGCCTACAGGGAGGAGGTGAGCGCCCTGGGAGTGTGGTGCCAGAAAAATAATCTCTCACTCAACGTCAACAAAACAAAGGAGCTGATCGTGGATTTCAGGAAACAGCAGAGGGAGCACGCCCCTATCAACATCGACGTGTCCGCAGTGGAGAAGGTGGAAAGCGTCAAGTTCCTCGGCGTACACATCACTGACGATCTGAAATGGTCCACCCACACAGACAGTGTGGTGAAGAAGGTGCAACAGCACCTCTTCAACCTCAGGAGGCTGAATAAATGTGGCTTGGCACCTAAAACACTCACAAACCTTTACAGATGCACAATTGAGAGCATTCTGTCGGGCTGTATCACCGCCTGGTATGGCAACTGCACCGCCCGCAACCGCAGGGATCTCCAGAGGGTGGTGCGGTCTGCATAAACGCATCACGGGGGCAAGCTACCTGTCACAGGAAGGTCAAAAAGATCATCAAGGACAACAACCACCCGAGCCACTGCCTGTTCACCCCACTATCACCCAGAAGGCGAGGTCAGTACAGGTGTATCAAAGCCGGGACCGAGAGACTGAAAAACAGCTTCTATCACAAGGCCATCAGAATGTTGAATAGCCATCACTAGGCAGCTTCCACCCGGTTATGTAACCCTGCACCTTAGAGGCTGAAATCACTGGCCACTTTAATAATGGAACACTAGTCACTTGAATAATGTTGACATATTCTTGCTTTACTCATCTCATATGTATATACTGTATTCTATTCTACTGTATTTTAGTCTATGCCACTCCGACATTGCTCATCCTAATATTTATATATTTCTTTAACTTTTAGATTGTGTGTATTGTTGAATTGTTAGATATTACTGCACTGTTGGAGATAGAAATGCAAGCATTTCGCTACACCCGCAATAACATCTGCTAAACATGTGTATGTGACCAATCAAATTTGATTTGATTTGAAACCATGTCCAATCAATTGAATTTACCACAGGTGGACTCCAATCAAGTTGTAGAAACATCTCAAGGATGATCAATGCAAACAGGATGCACCTGAGCTCAATTTTGAGTCTCATAGCAAAGGGTTAATAAATTTGCTAAACAAAATTAAAAACCATGTTTTGACTTTGTCATTATGGGGTATTGTGTGTTGATTGATGAGGAAAAAAATGTCTTTAACCCATTTTAACGTAACAAAATTTTGGGAAAAGGAAGAGTCTGAATACTTTCTGAATGCAGTGCAGTTGCTAATGGCAGCCGGCAGTACCCCTGTCGGCCTTCAACTTGAGTTACTCGATGAGAGGGGGCAGCACTGAATTAGCCTGCAATGCCACTTCCTGGAGTAGCTAAAACTGTGCAGGTTATGTCTCCCAAGAGACACCATCTTAACCGACTCCATTTGGCTTCAATGCACTATTGCGTCTTCACATACGAATTAAGGGTGTCAGTGATCGATGGCTTTGTCCATTCATATATACAGTCATAGAGCCTACCTCACTGTGTGCACAATAATTAACATACCCTCCCAAAAAGTAATCACAGCACCACATCATAACCCATACAGCAATACCTCCACGTGTATACCTCTAATTGAACAAAAAATGGTTGATCCTTTTACGTCACCACTCTATCCAAGGTCAAGCCAAATGACTTGAACTCACATACAGAGATATTCATTGTTTGGGGCAAAATACTGTAGTAAAAATGTCCTGACGTCTGTGGTCCAAGTTTTGTAGAATCCAAAATGCTTTATGCCATATTATTTAGTGGAGCAGACAGTGGTAAAAACCAGGGAGAATAAACACTACATCAGGAAAGGGTCACTGCCAGTCAGTTTCCAGGTAGGGATTTGCCCCAAAAAGACAGCTTTGTATTCTGCTGTAATCTGATATTCATTTACAGCCGGCAATGAAAGCAGAGGAACAGGTTTCTTTGTTCAGGATATCCACATTCCTTCTCCCTGACTTTCACTAAGGTTATGTGTATTCTGTCAGTTGGAAGCCAACAGCGTGCCTCATTTTAAATCTTTCATACAGTAGGCTTTGTAGTTAGTAGTCGCAAAACAAACAGTATGATTGTCAACATCCTATACATTTATTGTGTACTCACTACAAAGCTATTTAGAGCTTCTTAAAGTATAACTCTGAGTGAGACATTGTAGGCCATGGACCTAATGAACAGGCCTACATTGTAAATGTAAATTCACTAACTCAAAGCCATAGTTGCTGACTTCATTGTAGACATGAGGGCTTTGCGTGCTTACAATCAGTGATTGGTGTAATGGCTAGACTTGAAAATGAACAAAGTAAATCTCATGCTCAACTGCAAATTCCTCGGACAGAAGTGCAATGTTCAACAGGTGCTGTATCTTTAATTTGTCATTTTATAAAGGCATTTTATTCTGGGATTTCGATTGGTTTATTGTGAGGAGATAAGGAACCAATACCAACCTCTCTTAGAAATGTTTGGCTTGCCAAGCAGGATATAGACCAAACTAAGGTAATTGCTTATTGTGATAAGGGGAATGAGAGTGAGTAGGGCTGTGACGTAACAGTATCGCAATATCTTTTCCATGGCAAAAATGAAAACACGAAGCAAACCAAACTCTGTGGTCCATTAACCTGCTGTATGTAATATATTGTGTGCTATAGCTTGGAAAATAAAATAAATGTGATCTTTGTTTCCAACATTAGGGCTGTTTTCCTAAAGAAGTTAAATCCGCTTTGTGTTTTGGTTCCTTGCCATGATACTAACGAGTAACGTGATGCTGGTATCATCCCGGCCCTAGTTGTGAGTGACTATGACACGCAGGTTTTCAGTGGAAAATGTCGGATGGAATATTTTATTTATGCATCTAAGCATCCCTTTTAAAAATTCACTGCTCTGCTTTGAGCATGCTTCCTCCATCTTTGAATTCAAATTCAATTAAAATCTCCCCCATCACATACTGCCCCTTCTCTTTCGTTTTAGGCTACCTTTTCTTTTAAGGGTGCATAAACCATCAAATCTGTCATAAATACATTGACTTATGCAATGTAGAGATAAGAAGGGAGAGATGATGAAAAATATATCTTAATAGATCTCTTTCACCATCTCTTGCTCTCTGTTTGTCTTCATTGGCCAACTGTTAAGAGTTGCTCTAGTGTTCCAGGAAGTGACTCTAAGCAATGTAATTCCCGTAACCCAGTCATCATCATAACCCCGTCGTCACCACCACAACTCTCCAGTGTACTGTACAGATTGTACCACTTGCTAATTTATATAAAGGAGTGTCAAGGTCTTATTCTTTTTGCTCCATTTCCTCCTCCTCAAGCTGTCACTCATTAACGCAATGAGGTGCATACTAACAAAGGCCACTCTCGTTGCTTAGCAACAATAAACCCTCAAACTCACAGGCATGCAATTCTCTCCGTAGAATCTCACACACAGTGGAGCTCTTTTGAATATCAATGCAAAATGCCATTACCGAGAGATGTTTTCCCTATGTGTTCTATCTAATCTGACTCCTATCAGCATTTTGATAAAGGTTTTTGTGTGTTCATGTGCAGTCACTGAATGTGCATAAATAGCTTGACATTTATTTTGAAGAAAATACCTTCAGAAAAGACAGTTAAATTCTGTTATTGACCCATTATCTCTCTGCGTTTTTCTTTTCAGGGCAACCTGCTCAGTATGACCCCACCTTCAATGGACCCATTCGGAAAAGGTAGCCTCTTCCACTAAGTATCTCTCACTCATTTTGTCTCTTGCTCTCTACAAAGACTACAGAGCCTAGCCCTAACTACCAATCTATCTCTGTATGAAAATTGTCCATTGTATGTCTAAAGTGCCTTTGGTAGGCATACTTTCTGTCACATATTTCTGCCTTGGGGCATCTATGCCACAGTAATGCTCAAAATCACTTTGTGTATTATTGTCTCTCCATTCTCCCTCAGAGGCTGCACTGATATCATCTGCTGTGTTCTCTTCATGGTCGTGATCCTTGGCTACATGGTGGTGGGGATTTTGGGTAAGATGGGCCCTCTATGCACCTCCCACCTCTCTCAGACCCTCTCTCTCTTTCTCTCACACACACTCATACACACATACTTATTCTGTATGATAATTATTTTCTTTCTTTCTTTCTTTCTCTCTCTCTCTCTCGCCATTACATGACATCTGATTCCTGGCGTTATCTCTCTCTGGCTGTCAACCTCTCTTTATCACTCTTATGTCCCTTTTGAAACTCTCTCCATAATGCCCTATGTAAATGTAGTATTAGCAGGCTGAACGCACAGTCCGGCCATACTCGCTAAACAAAACAACAGTGACATAATAATAAATAATAATAATATGCCATTTAGCAGACGCTTTTATCCAAAGCGACTTACAGTCATGCGTGCATACATTTTTGTGTATGGGTGGTCCCGGGGATCGAACCCACTACCTCCCGGGGATCGAACCCACTACCTTGGCGTTACAAGCGCCGTGCTCTACCAGCTGAGCTACAGAGGACCACCACCTTGGTCCCTTACTCAATTCCAACAGCTCGTCAAAACGCAAATCACAAGTGAGAACATCAACTCCATTATTGAGAGTGCACTGAAAACATAAGCTTGTCATTGATTCTATGATTTCCTGACTTTTCCCCTCTTCAAAGTCTATACCCTCACCCTTATCTAGTATTATAAGGTATCTCTATGGCCTTGATATTCTCCTCCTTTTTCTGTCTTTCGGTCGAAAGGCCTCCCTCTCCCCTGACTCCCACCCATAGTGGTTCCAAAGACCCGTTCCAAAGCAGAGCTCACCCTCACCCACGACATCCATGACCTGTCATCAAACACATTCCAGTAGCCACACACTCTGCCTTATCTAGAATCAATAGAGAGGCCTGATAGGAAAGGAGGTCATATGAATATATGGCCAATATAAATAGCTTAGTATGTGATTAATGTGATAGGATATTGTGCATTGACCGGATATACAGTTGGCCTTTTATTGAAAAGAGGTGGGTGGGGGTTTAGTATATAAAACGACCAAAGCCAAGTAGTTGATGTAAATGAGGTTTGAATGTTCATTTGGTTGCCTTTATGACACATTTATGAGTAATTGGCTCATGTGTTCTTTGACTGTGGTAAATGTATTGGTGTCCCCACCTCTCTATTAGATGTTGATGTGTTTTTTGTTTTTATATTTCTACCAGCCTGGCTTTATGGTGATCCCCGGCACGTCCTCTACCCACGGAACTCTACCGGAATGTTCTGTGGCATCGGTCTCAATGAGTAAGGACCTCTCTGGTGTTTGATGTGTTTGAACTTGAAATCCTTTATGAACCATCAAGTATTATTTTATTCAGAAGTTCAAAACACTTGAGGTTATGTAATGTGAATTTACTAATCATGCATTTTTGCCATAAATGCAACAGATAAAAGCAGAATATTTGGCCAATCAAGTCAGACATTTAATCTGGGTTAATAATTCAATTTTGGCATGCCTCACTACATACTGAACTGTCATATTATATATTTCATTCAGAATGCATAGTTTGCATTGTACTCACAGACTCCTTCCTCACTGGTAACTTTTCCTTTCGCAGAGCTAAACCCAGTGTGTTCTACTTTGACATACTGAAATGTGCCACATCACTCAACATCATGGCCGCCGTCCTTAATGGGTTACAGTGCCCCACCACACAGGTACAGTAACATCACACTATAATATCCTAGTTTCTCTAAAGGCTGATGTCAGGTGTAATAAGGAACTCTGTGCACATCTCCAATTTCCCATTGTGTGTTTATACACTAGTAAGTACCTGGGTCAAATGGTATGTATATGTAATGTCTTCACCAAGCAGCTGGGCACATCATACAAGTGGTCTTCTATTTCATTTTCATTTGTGTGAGGTCTTTCTTTCCTGGTCTCTACGTCCCAAAATGTCATGTGTATCTGCATATCTGGGACAGGCATCACGTTTACGTCACAAAGTGAAGAAATCTTCTTTCCTCACCCTGCAGGTGTGTGTGGAAAAGTGCCCAGATGTGTTCTGGGCTCTGAATCCTGTTGCCTACTCAACGGATGCGAACCCACAAGAATACTTCAACCAATCACTCTGCGTGCCATCCTTTGACCTAGCAACAACTACACTGGTAAGTCCCATCCTATTCTTACGGAGGTTTGTAAATTCACATCTTTAGATAGGCTTTCATTGATCATTGTTTTTCACTGACTTCCTCAAAGCCTTTGGACTATCTTTTGGAAATAGATTTAACAGGAGGGTTTTCCTAGTTGTTTTTTACTCAGTGTAGCTAAATATGCTAGGTTATCCTTTTTTTTCTTTGCCTCTCAGAAAGTAAAAGAAATTGTGGATCAAGAGCTGTGCCCGTTCTTCTACACTCCTACAATCTCTGGTGAGTGTGCCTTTCTTTTTTAATATTTACTTTCATCATTACAGATCTAGATGCTTTTAAGTCGTTAAATGTAAACATTTCAAATGTTTTCCTCTGTCTAGTGCTGGGAAGATGCATACCTGATGTTGGCGCACTGAAAAATATTCCTAATGACTTTGCCAATACGCCAGGCTTGCCATCAAGCATCAATGATACAGTCAATGGCATCAGGAACGCCACAGGGTAGGGGGTGTTACAAACACACACACACACACACACACACACACACACACACTGTAAATACCCATTAATAACCCATCATCTCTCTCTCACTGCCAGTGAAAGGTCCCTGATTGAGTGAGTTATATTGATCTCACATCAATATAGTAGACTAGTTCCTGTGTGTAGACATAGACCTGTGTTAGCATGTTTGTGAGTCGGTGTCTTGCTTTATGATAGTGGTAGCCCTTAGCCATACCCTCGTAGTCATTTAGCTCCAGTAGTACCCTTGCACATGGCTAGAACATTGCTTTTAGTACTAGCTTTTAGTACAGAATCAACCCACATAAAGCCTTGGGTTGATTCTGAGGATAATATGAACACTGAGTCTGACCATGATGTCCAGACCTGAGTGGTTATTTTAAAATGTGATAAACTAAAAATAAGACTAAATATAAGTAGGCTATTAGACTTGTAAAACACATGAGCAGGTGTAATAGTGGGTGCTTGTTAGTATTTGATACAGAAACAACCCAAGGAACTGTCAGTGGGCTGTAGTTGTACAACCTCCCAAATTACCCCTCAATGTGCTGTAGTAATCAATACACTGACTGGTACTGAATACCAGCAGTCAAAGAAAGCTTTTAATGTTACCCTCTCTTTGTATTGAGCTCTATAAATGCCATCAATGCATGAATGTACTATTACGAAGAAACCTCTTCATACTTATTTCTTTGTTCCTCTCATCTCCTCCTGTACTTATAAATCTTCTCTGCTTTTATCTTTATTTATCGTGTAATACTCTGCATCATGCTGTTTTGTGTCAGAGACATTGTCAGTAATTACTAGCATTAACATGTATTTTCCCTGTCTTGTAGTGACATAGTAAATGGCTTCAATGCCAAGGAGGTCGGAGTGAGAATCTTTGAGGACTTTGCATCATCATGGCAGTGGATCATCGCGTGAGTCTCTCTCTTGGGCTCATTTTCAACTCCCATCAAACTACACCCTACTGCCAGTTACTTGTCAATTCACCATTTCCATTGTGCTGTACTAACCGTAAAAGTTTGCATTGTCGCTCATCTTCTCGGCCAATCTTTCACTTTACACAAATTCAACTCATTAAATATTAGACTGCTTCAAAAGAAGCTAACATTTATTAGAGATGGCATGCTTACCAATGATACCAATGACCTGAAATGTATCTCCTTTCTCTTCATTGTTCTTATTTTTGTTCTCGCCTACCTCCTTTTACCCTCTCTCCGCTCTTCCAATCCTCTCTCTTACTCTGCTGTGTACATCTCTCCTCTCCTTCCTCAGTGCTCTAGTCATAGCCATGGTGGTCAGTTTTCTGTTCCTCCTTCTGTTGCGGTTCATCGCCCCTGTTATGGTCTGGGTCCTTATATTTGGAGTGTTGGCAGTAGGTGCCTATGGTAAGTCATTGATAATATCAGTGTGGTAATAATATGTCTACTAACATGTTTGTAGTGTACTCTCTCTAGTAGGTCTATATGTAGGTCACAGTGGTTTAAGAACATGGACTTTTCAGGGTGGTTAAAGCATCTTATTTCTCTCTCTGTCTGTCTGTCTGTCTGTAGGTATATATCACTGCTGGTGGGAATACGACAACTACAGCAAGTCGACCGTCTCCATCACTGACATAGGCTTCACCACCGACTTCAAGGTCTACCTTCAGGTCAAGGAGACCTGGCTGGCCTTCTGTGAGTCTGATATTACACGTGTTCTTTTTATGTCTCTATTTTCCTCTGTACACAGACTGACAGACATGCCTTTCTGTTGACAACATTGTACCGTTGTGTTGACCTATCTACTTACTCCCTCTCTCTCTCTTATTATTTCTCTCTCTCTCAGTGATAATCCTGTCTGTGGTAGAGGGCATTCTTCTCCTGACCTTGATCTTTCTGCGGACCAGAATCCTCATCGCCATCGCTCTCATTCAGGAGTCCAGCAAGTGAGTCAAGTTAGATATATGAGCCAGGATTACACGTACTGGCCCTGTGACAAATATTCGACCAATATTGCGTTACAACCTAACTTTTCAGCACACGTACTGTAACTGTAATGTTTCACAGGGCTGTCAGTCACATGATGTCTACGCTGTTCTACCCTCTCGTCACCTTTGTTCTCCTGGTGGTGTGTGTGACCTACTGGGGCATCACTGCTCTGTATCCTCTCACAGTCGTGTAAACATTTTGGGGTATTTTACAATGCCTATTATAATTTTATGACAAATAATCATAAGGTCTGTTTTGTATCTGTGTTCCACTGAGCACTGTCTACAAACTCCACGGTATCGTTAACCCACTTAACAGAAGATGTTTAGGTATCTGGCCACTTCAGGCATTCCAGTGTACAAAGTCGTGGCTCTCAACTCTACTCAGGATAACTGTGGCCAAATCAGCGGCAATGTGACCTGTGACCCACAGGTAAGTGTCCCTGACTAACTTTGACCCTATAGAGATAGATGCAGAAAAGCCCAACTCAGAAATCAGAAACGCACACAAAATGTGTATACTTGCTTCAGCCGTCTACGTATTTAAAAAAAATATCTGTTTGACCCCTTTCCGTCTCTCCATTCATATCTCATCCCTTCCTCTTTCATCTCTCCCACCTCCTGTCTTTCCCTCAGACATTCTACAACTCTACAGACTACTCATGGTGCCCGTCGGCGCGCTGCATCTTCATAAAGTACAACAACGAGGGCCTGCTGCAGAGAAACCTGTTCAACCTGCAGATCTACAACGTGGTGGCCTTCCTGTGGTGCATCAACTTTGTCATCGCCCTCGGCCAGTGCACCCTGGCCGGGGCCTTCGCCTCCTACTACTGGGCCTTCAGCAAGCCCTCGGACATCCCCACCTTCCCCCTGTCCCAGGCCTTCATCCGCACGCTACGGTAAGGGAGTAGACACATGTATCAGCAGTAGGGCTGTGGTGGTGCCTTTCCTTGCCTGAGGGTCCACAGACCATATACAGTTGAAGTCGGAAGTCATTAAAATTCGTTTTTCAACCACTACACAAATTTCTTGTTAACAAACTAGAGTTTTGGCAAGTCGGTTAGGACATCTACTTTGTGCATGACACAAGTCATTTTTCAAACAATTGTTTACAGACAGATTATTTCACTGTATCACAATTCCAGTGGGTCAGAAGTTCACATACACTAAGTTGACTGTGCCTTTAAACAGCTTGGAAAATTCCAGAAAATGATGTCATGGCTTTAGAAGCTTCTGATAGGCTAATTGACATAATTTGAGTCAATTGAAGGTGTACCTGTGGATGTATTTCAAGGCCTACCTTCAAACTCAGTGCCTCTTTGCTTGACATCATGGAAAATTCAAAAGAAATCAGCCAAGACCTCAGAAAAACAATTGTAGACCTCCACAAGTCTGGTTCATCCTTGGGAGCAATTTCCAAACGCCTGAAGGTACCGCGCTCATCTGTACAAACAATAGTACGCAAGTATAACCACCATGGGACCACGCAGCCGTCATACCGCTCAGGAAGGAGACGCGTTCTGTCTCCTAGAGATTAACGTACTTTGGTGTGGAAAGTGCAAATCAATCCCAGAACAACAGCAAAGGACCTTGTGAAGATGCTGGAGGAAACAGGTACAAAAGTATCTATATCCACAGTAAAACGAGTCCTATATCGACATAACCTGAAAGGCTGCTCAGCAAGGAAGAAGCCACTGCTCCAAAACCGCCATAAAAAAGCCAGTCTACGGTTTGCAACTGCACATGGGCACAAAGATCGTACTTTTTGGAGAAATGTCCTCTGGTCTGATGAAACAAAAATATAACTGTTTGGCCATAATGACCTTTGTTATATTTGGAGGAAAAAGGGGGTGCTTGCAAGCCGAAGAACACCATCCCAACCGTGAAGCACAGGGGTGGCAGCATCATGCTATGGGGGTGCTTTGCTACAGGAGGGACTGGTGCACTTCACAAAATAGATGGCATCATGAGGAAGGGAAATTATGTGGATATATTGAAGCAACATCTCAAGACATCAGTCAGGAAGTTAAAGCTTGGTCGCAAATGGGTCTTCCAAATGGACAATGGCCCCAAGAGTACTTCCAAAGTTGTGGCAAAATGGCTTAAGGACAACAAAGTCAAGGTATTGGAGTGGCCATCACAAAGACCTGACCTCAATCCTATAGAAAATGTGTGGGCAGAACAGAAAAAGCGTGTGCGAGCAAGGAGGCCTACAAACCTGACTCAGTTACACCAGCTCTGTCAGGAGGAATGGGCCAAAATTTACCCAACTTATTGTGGGAAGCTTGTGGAAGGCTACCCGAAACGTTTGACCCAAGTTAAACAATTTTTAAAGGCAATGCTACCAAATACTAATTGAGTGTATGTAAACTTCTGACCCACTGGGAATGTGATGAAATAAATAAATAATTCTCTCTACTATTATTCTGACATTTCACATTCTTAAAATAAAGTGGTGATCCTAACTGACCTAAGACAGGGAATTTTTACTAGGATTAAATGTCAGGAATTGTGAAAAACGGAGTTTAAATGTATTTGGCTAAGGTGTATGTAAACTTCCGACTTCAACTGTACTTGTACAGTTACATTTTGAGCCAGAATCCAATTTGTATTTTGTTAGCTATCCATTCAACTAACTCCCTCTCTCCCCCTATGTCTATGTTTCTTCTCTTAGATACCACGTTGGCTCCCTGGCGTTTGGTGCTCTGATCCTCACCCTCATCCAGATAGTTCGGATCATCCTGGAGTACCTGGACCACAAGACCAGAGGTAAGGCTGGAGGCCGCCTTTTATTTTCCCTTGGAAACCGGTTATTGTTATCCGATTAACCCCTTAGAGTCGATGTCCGCGCCCCTGCGGAAATCTAATTGGCATAATTTAAAAAATCCCCATCAATGTGTCTGTTTAAGCTAGAGATATATCTGTTTTATAAAATAATTGAAATTATCTCTCAGATATAGGACAGACACTTTAAAACAAACTTCCTTTTGATACAAAAATTGACTGTTTTTCCATGTATGAATCTAATAGCAAATTCAATGTTTCATCAAATATTACATATATTTATACCTAAAGGGGTCCTAAAATTCCAAATCAAATAGCTAAATGATCCTTGGTATGACAAGTAATGTAAGGATAATGGAGCTCCACAGCTTGTAGTCCTAAAACCCGGAAATTAGTTACCTCTGGTTTGTTCAGCCATTCTTATGGGAAACATGAATGGGGAAAGAATAGGGTTTTTGAATAAACACTGAAAAAAGGTCTGAGGTTAACATAGGCTTAGGAGATCTTATAGAAAAAAGTATGAGATAATAGAAGCCTTTATGTGGGTTTTTTTATTTACATTTACATTTCAGTCATTTAGCAGACGCTCTTATCCAGAGCGACTTACAGTTAGTGAGTGCATACATTATTTGTTTATACTGGCCCCCTGTGGGAATCGAACCCACAACCCTGGCGTTGCAAACGCCATGCTCTACCAACTGAGCTACATCCCTGCTGGCCATTCCCTCCCCTACCCTGGACGACTTGTGCGCCGCCCCATGGGTCTCCCGGTCGCGGCCGGCTACGACAGAGCCTGGATTTGAACCAGGATCTCTAGTGGCACAGCTGCACTGTAATGCAGCTAGCACTGTAATGCAGTGCCTTAGACCACTGCGCCACTCGGGAGACATAACATAAATTATTCTAAATTCACAAAAAGTGACGTTAGCTGATGCCGATTATCACATAGAACAAAACTTATGAGATCTCCTAAGCCTGTGTATACCACAGACCTTTTTTTTGGCGTTTATCCAAAAACCCTACAAAAAACGGAATTCATTTCCCCATAGGCTTTTCCAACGAACCATGGCGGAGTTAGTGCCTACAAAAAGACGCCGTTACTATTTCTCTCTGTCTCTTTCTCTCTAGCGGCTCAAAACCCCTGTGCTCGGTTCCTCATGTGCTGTCTGAAGTGTTGCTTCTGGTGTTTGGAGAAGTTCATCAAGTTCCTCAATAGAAACGCCTACATCATGGTCAGTCTCCACTACATCATCACATGTACCTGTTAACTACAACTACCTGTCTGTCAATCTCTCTCCCTCAGTTCCCCCAGTGTAGAGTATTTCTGGTAGGCTAAGGCTATGTATCTAATACACATTCCTCTTTTTCCCACAGATTGCCGTATATGGAAAAAACTTCTGTGTCTCCGCGAAAAACGCATTCATGCTTCTAATGAGGAACATTGTCAGGTGTGTGTTCTAGTAATGGTTGGTATGCCGGTGGGAATGTGTAGACTTGTTTTTTCCCTCTTACATAAGAACATTTGCATGGATTTGATTGACTGCTGTGAAACCATAGCTGAGTGCTGGTGACGTGTTTCCCTGACGCACTGACTATGCCTCTCTCCTCAGGGTGGTGGTGCTAGATAAAGTGACAGACCTGCTGCTGTTCTTTGGGAAGCTGCTAGTGGTGGGAGGAGTAGGTAAGAGGACATAAATGGCAACATAATTATTATGGCGTTATCATTGGTCGTAGTTCTGAATAGGAGCTCCTTTGGTGCATTTTACAGACCAGAAGTGTGATTGGATAACCTGTCTAAATTAATCAAATCTTGAACCAATCCTCCTCTTCTCTTCTCAGGTGTCCTGGCTTTCTTTTTCTTCTCTGGCAGAATAAGAGTACCAGGCAGCAATTTCCGTACTGAAATGCTCAATTATTACTGGATGCCCATTATTGTAAGTGACAGTAATACAGTGCATTCGAAAGTATTCAGATCCCTTCACTTTTTCCACATTTTGTTACGAACCAGCCTTATTCTAAAATGGGTTCAATTAAAAGTGTTCCTCATCAATCTACACACAATACCCCATAATGACAAACAGGTTTTTATAAATTCTTGCAAATTTACTAAAAATAAAAAACAGAAATACCTTATTTACATAAGTATTCAGACCCTTTGCTATGAGACTCGAAATTGAGCTCAGGTGCATCCTGTTTCCATTGATCATCCTTGAGATGTTTCTACAACTTGATTGGAGTCCATCTGTGGTAAATTCAATTGATTGGACATGATTTGGAAAGGCACACGCCTGTCTATATAAGGTCCCACAGTTGACAGTGCATGTCAGAGCAAAAACCAAGCCATGAGGTCAAAGTAATTGTCTGTAGAGCTCCGAGACAGGATTGTGTCAAGGCACAGATCTGGGGAAGGGTACCAAAAAATGTCTGCAGCATTGAAGGTACCCAAGAACACAGTGGCCTCCATCATTCTTAAATGGAAGAAGTTTGGAACCACCAAGACTCTTCCTAGAGCTGGCCGCCCGGCCAAACTGAGCAATCGGGGAAGAAGGGCCTTGGTCAGGGATGTGACCAAGAACCCGATGGTCACTCTGACAGAGCTCTAGAGTTTATCTGTGGAGATGGGAGAACCTTCCAAAAGGACAACCATCTCTGCAGTACTCCACCAATCAGACCTTTATGGTAGAGTGGCCAGACGGAAGCCACTCCTCAGTAAAAGGCACATGACAGCCCACTTGGACTTTGCCAAAAGGCACCTAAATACTCTCAGACCATGAGAAACAAGATTCTCTGGTCTGACGAAACAAAGATTGAACTTGGCCTGAATGCCAAGCTTCATGTCTGGAGGAAACCTGGCACCATCCCTACGTTGAAGCATGGTGGTGGCAGCATCATGCTGTGGGGATGTTTTTCAGTGGCAGGGACTGGGAGACTAGTCAGGATCAAGGGAAAGATGAACGGAGCAAAGTACAGAGAGATCCTTGATGAAAACCTGATCTAGAGCACTCAGGACCTTAGACTGGGGCGAAGGTTCACCTTCCAATAGGACAACGACCCTAAGCACACAGCCAAGAGAATGCAGGAGTGGTTTCGGGACAAGTCTCTGAATTTCCTTGAGTGGCCCAGCCAGAGCCCGGACTTGAACCCGATCTAACATCTCTGGAGAGACCTGAAAATAGCTGTGCAGCGACACTCCCCATCCAACCTGACAGAGCTTGAGAGGATCTGCAGAGAAGAATGGGAGAAACTCCCCAAATACAGGTGTGCAAAGCTTGTAGCGTGATACCCAAGAAGACTTGAGGCTGTAATCGCTGCCAAAGGTGCTTCAACAAAGTTCTGAGTAAAGGGTATGAATACTTATGTAAATGAGATATTTCCGTTTTTGCTTAGTCATTATGGGGTATTGTGTGTAGATTGATGAGGGGAGAAAAAAAACGATTTAATCAATTTTAGAATAAGGCTGTAATGTAACAAAATGTGGAAAAAGTAAAGGGGTCTGAATACTTTCCGAAGGCACTCCATAGTGGAAGTGAACGAGAAGCAGTTAACAATCAATTAAATGTGTGTTAGAGAAAGTAATTGACAGTGGTGTGTATGTCTTTGTGGTAACAGGTGGTTGTCGTGGGAGCGTACCTCATTGCTCATGGATTCTTCAGTGTGTACAACATGTGTGTGGACACACTCTTCCTCTGCTTCTGTGAGTAGAGCACCTCCAGCAACACATCACTGTATCATATACTGAGCAGTCACACATTACATTGCTACATTTCTTGCTTCATTGCACAAAAAAACCTTTCAACATGCCTGTCTATTGATTTTCTCTCTTCTTTCTTGCTCCCTTTCTCACAGTGGAGGACTTGGAGCGACATGACGGAACGATGCAGAAGCCATACTACATGTCCAAGAACCTGATGAAAATCCTCAATAAAAAGAACAAGGGACCTAAAAAGGGCAAATGAAAGGATTGATGAAATAGTGCCTTGAGATTAATCACTGTATAGCACAGTCACTTTCAACAACCAAGAAATATCCTAGAAACATCACATCCTAGAAATATAATTTTTGTTTTTTAAATATTTCAGCCTTATAACACCTTCAGTTTACACAAAGTTGATCACTTTTCTGCACTTTCAATTTGAGATTACGTGTGTGTCCACACGAGTGTGATAGATATGAGAGATATTTTCTTACATTCCAGCTATTCCTTCTAACAATTTGAAGTGACCAAAGCTAGAGCTGTTTATTAGTCTCTGACCAAAACCAAATGTTTATTCTCTTGCAGTGCTTATTCTTTTTCAGAAAAGAGACCGTTTTCTCAAGTCAACTAATTATTTATCAGATAGAACAAAAACCTTTGAGACAGAGATAATCGCCATAACTGTTTTAAATACTTTTTTATGATCCTCAGTACTCTGTATATGATTTCAGTTTAAGGTCTCAGTTTTTTATTTGTTAAAGTAACACTAACAATTTTATTATGATTCAATTTTTTTGATTGAATATAATATTGTAGATATTTATTAATCATTTTGACAATTTATTAAAGATTTTTATAACGGTATTACAATTTTTTGATCCATGCTGACATCACATGTATATTGCCTTGCGTAATGATGGATTCCTCTATAGGAAAATAGCTCTGGTTTAATTCACACATCTGCTTGAAGCAGTGGTGCATGTGATCTTCTGAAATGCTCTGTTGAGAATCATGACACTTGCAGGCTGCAGGCGCTTGTACATGGGTACTGAAGACAAAGCTCTCTTTAGCAGAACTTATCGCAAGTCAGAGGTATGAGGTGTCTGGACTGGGCCCATATGTCTATTCTTATTAAGTACTGGACCCTGAAACAAATCAAATTCTGTCTAGAGTGAGCGTGTCCATCCATTTGGCTGCACTAAACACAACAAATTTCAGTTGTCAAGGATCAATGTTAATTTACCTCACATACTACTACACAATATCTCATGTCAAAATCTCACTACATTCCTCAACCTCTTGTCTCCTGAGACCCAGAGAGAAAATGCACGTGGGAGTCTGCAGTCATGTATTGTATCATGTGATCTACTTCAGGAGAGACTCATCACGTGATCGGTCAATGTTCCAGTACATGAGAGCGTGTGCCTTTACTGTTAAACCATTTGTAATAATTAGGCCCTGTGTTTTGGTTGATCATGTCACATGACCTGGATTTTAAGCTTTATTTTTAAAACTTCTTCATTAAACTTTCCCCTTTTTCTTTTTATGTCAGATGGTCCAGCACCATCCTCAGACAATTGCTTACATTTTTGTTGTAATTCTATTTTCTGGAAAATGATTAAAATAAAGGTTAATATCCAGGTCAACCAAAACAAAGGGCCCAACTGATAGTATTACATTGCAATATGCGGGTATACAATAACCTGTGCAACCGGTCGTGAGTTTCTGACTTTTGTTCTCTTAGTCATATGATCAGCTCAACTATAATCATATTACAAGCATAGCAATAGATGGCATACACCTGATCCAGCTATTTTAGTTTACTGTGAAGCTGAGCATAAGCTGCTTGAACATACACTGAACAAAAATAGAAACGCAACATGTAAAGTGTTGGTCCCATGTTTCATGAGCTGAAATAAAAGATCTCTGAATTTTTCCATACACACAAAAAGCTTATTTCTCTAAAATGTTGCACACATTTGTTTACATCCCTGTTAGTGAGTATTTATCCTTTGCCAAAAGAATCCATCCACCTGACAGGTGTGGCATATCAAGAAGCTGATTATTACACAGGTCTACCTTGTGCTGGCGACAATAAAAGGCCACTCTAAAATGTGCAGTTTTATCACAATGCCACAGATGTCTCAAGTTTTGAGGGAGCGTGCAATTGGCATGCTGACTGCAGGAATGTCCACCAGAGCTGTTGCCAGAGAATTGAATGTTCATTTCTCTACCATAAGCCGCCTCCAATGTCGTTTTAAGGAATTTGGCAGTATGTCCAACCGGCCTCACAATCGCAGACCTGATGTCAACGTTGTGAACAGAGTGCCCCATGGTGGCGGTGGGGTTATGGTATGGGCAGGCATAAACTATAGACAACGAACACAATTGCATTTTATCGATGGCAATTTTAATGCACAGAGATACCGTGACGAGATCCTGAGGCCCATTGTCGAGCCATTCATCTGCCGCCATCACCTCATGTTTCAGCATGATAATGCATGGCCCCATGTCGCAAGGATCTGTACACAATTCCTGGAAGCTGAAAATGTCTCAGTTCTTCCATGGCCTGCATACTCACCAAACATGTCACCCATTGAACATGTTTAGGATGCTCTGGATCGACAGCGTGTTCCAGTTCCCGACAATATCCAGCAACTACGCACAGCCATTGAAGAGGAGTGGGACAACATCTACATGCCACAATCAACAGCCTGATCAAGTCTATGTGAAGGAGATGTCGCGCTGCATGAGGGAAATGGTGGTCACACCAGATACTGACTGGTTTACCCTTTTTTAAAGGTATCTGTGACCAACAGATTCATATCTGTATTCCCAGTCATGTGAAATCCATAGATTAGGGCCTAATGAATTTATTTCAATTGACTGATTTCCTTATATGAACTGTAACTCAGTAAAATCTTAGAAATTGTTGCATGTTGCATTTCAATTTTTGTTCAGTATAATTATTTTATGCTTGACATGGATCTAGTGTGTTCTTTGTGGTTGAATTAATCCCATCAATGCCTCGCCGATTTGCCTTTCACAATTCAGCATATTTGGACAGTTAATACACATTTCAACTTCATAATAGTGTGCACAAAGAACTTAGACAACACAGGCTACATTAAATGTATTAAACAACTATTTATTCAGAGTGCAGGAAAACATTTCCACAGCTCCGTGACCATTTGGTTTTGCACAATGTGTCACTGTTTCGTCTAGCAAAAGACTTGCAATACAAATGTCATTTCCATCATTTGTTTAGTGTCACAAAATATTCAGAATACAAATGCCTAGCTTGATCAGACAGTGATATGCAAGAAATGACTTCACCTGTACATCACAAAAAAGACCTCCCTCCTCCATCACTTCGTGCCCCCCACAGCCCTTCCTTTTCTCAACCTCTTGCATGGATGTTATTGGGCTGGTGTTGTTTAGTAAGGTGCTACAGAGTTCCTGGACACTCTTGATCTTCAACCCATTTCATTTACTTCACAGGAGTTGTATCAAAATGAAATGGGTAGGGTGAAATGGGAGTTACTGTTTCCTTTTCATACACTGCTCACTCGCCTCTGGTTGGCTCATATGTGCATCATATATTGGTCAGATAGGTTAGAGTGCATTGTACGAGTACAGAAGTGTAACTTGTCTTTCACTGAGTGGAAGAGGGGGACTCCGCTACATCATGACATATGCTTTCCAGGTTGCCTGGTTAAACTCGAGCCATCTCACATCTTGTCTCATTCCCATGGCTGGTCATTCGGAAATACGTAAAAACAGCATTTACAATATTCATATATACAAATGTATATACAGACCCACAGACAGACACACAAACACTTACAATCAGGAGAAACACATTGCAATAGAAATCATACAATTATAATAGTCCATGTCATCACATTGGGCACAGTTCATGTTGCTCATCGCATGTTATTTTCTTAGCTGCAGATAATGACATCAAATACTCATTCTGACTTAAGTCAAAAAGGATCTGCCAAACACTGCATTGACTTCTGCACCTGGGTCGTGTTCAGTAGGCACAAAACGGAAGAAAACTGTGAAACAGAGGTACAATCTCAATTTGTCCAATAAACACTTGTTTTATTTTTCTGTTGCAAAAGTTTTGCTATGTTGTGCCTTAATGAACGTGACTCTGCTGTCATATTTTCCTTTGTAGCACTGTGCCCAGCTACAAGCCCCCAGGGACAGGTTTTCAGAACATTTAATACAGATCAAAAGGATCCTGTGTTGTGTTCCAGATCATTTTGAGTTGTAGATTTAAATAACTGTCCCCAGAGAATACTGTGACGTCATACAGTATTTACTCATATGTGGCGAATTCTCCAGAGCACAACTGTACACAATACTGCCCACTCCAGCCTTCCCATACACTATCCCCATAGCTCTTTACAATACAGCGTTTGTCATATAGATTAACAGACTAAGAACTCTTAAATCGTGTGGTTATATCCACTATAGCTCCAATCCACATTATTAGGTCTGTCTTCTCTATATGACTTCACAGTGCAATGGCAGTTTGTAAAGAGAATATGCAACGTTGTTATTGTACCTGTCTGTACACCATCCTACAGAATATTCATTAATTATGCTCGTAAATCTACAGACTAAAATGATTTCATCAGTTAAATTGTAAACAGGAGTATTCAAATACATTTTCCCAAAATCGTACTTGACAGTGATACATTACTCTTTGGCCTGGGAAAAGTGTCTGTATCAGATTATAATCCCATTGTCATCCTCCCTTAAAACTCAAACAAGTTCTAATATATTTGGGGAATAGCCTAAACCTGAAATTGCTTCACAGGGCAATTTTTTGATTCCATTTTGTAGCTCTATGTTAACCACATATTACATAGGTCTTGCGGTACAGTAAAGTTACTTAAAGTGATCATTGTCAAACTCCCCTCATTTACAATTAACTCAATCCAATCATTTCATATTGGCTATTATCTCTCAACACTGATTCCAGTCTATATACCAGTCCCATCCCTAAAAGCCAGCCCCCACCCCTCAACCCAGGTATCCACTGTGTGTGTGTGTGAGTATTTATGTACAAATGCACAGAGAAAGATCAATAGATTGACTTCTCTTTCCTCACCCTCACGTTTGGGTATCATCCACCACCACAGAGTGGTGTCTCAGTGTACTCTCTCTATCCGAATGAATCTCGTAAATCATTTGGGGGGATACACAAATCTTTTTCACTCGTTTGTGTTTGCTGCATTAGATATCACTTTCTAAGAGTGAACTGCCAGTCATCCCACCAACACCCATCTATAGTCTAAAGTCTCCCAGTCAGTTGGTCGTTCCTGGTGTTTTGATATGTGTGTGTGTGTGTGTATGCGTGTGTATATGCTTATGAGCTTTTTTTATATCCCTACAGTTCTCCTTTTCCACCTTCCATCCATCTTCTCCCTCACACAGTCAGCAGCCAGAAGAAGAAGAAGATGGCCACGAACAGGAAGAGAGAGTCCTGCCAGTTGTTGCCGTTGTTAGGGTTGACGTTGCCTTGGTGATCAGCTGCGTATGGGTCTGGGGGAACAGTGATAACATTGCAATGATCAGCCAATAGCTATCGCGTCAAGGAATAAATGATGGTTGTGTGGGTGTCTGTATGTGTTTCTATGTGCGTGTACCTGCTCTGTGGAAGGGGTCATTGGTGTTGAAGACTGTGGTGAAGAAGCCGAAAGGGAAGGCACCGATCCCAAAGGACATGTGGAAGCCAGTGTCCCCAAACCCCTGGAAGGGCTGCAAGAGGAGGAAAGAAAGAAATAGTGGTTCACTCAAATAGAGCGAACACACAAATAACCATGTAATAAATGTCATATTAAACTAATTAAAATGTAAGCGATGAAGAGGAGAGAAAGCCTCACCCCTCTGCTCTCTGGCTCCGTTCTCTGTCCCTGAGGTCGAGGCGGGGCTTTCAACCTGGAGGACGAAACACCAGTTAACCAATGCAGTTTCTCAGTGTCACATGTGTACAACTATGCACGCTCACACTCACACACACACAGTGTACCTGGGGTCCTCTTGGCTGGAGCTCCCTCTGCCATAGAGGGGGATGACTTTCTCTCTGCTAATGCCTGCTTTACACACAGGACACTGCTGTTGGCTGGGCCGTGTCTCCAACCACTGACAGACAGAGAAGGGGAGAGAAAGAGAGATCATATGACTGAGACGGAAGCCACTTTACTGTCTGTTCAATACTGTCAGTCTATTGGCATGCACTGACTTACTACAATGTGCAACACACAGGGTAGATCTATGTGATGTAGTGTGTTATGTAAAAGGATGAATCAATACACTGTAGTAGAATGATTTATTCAAAGAAGAAAAAAGGGGCAAAATAATTCCTAATTATACCATGCACTTTGTGTGTCAGCAATATAAGAGAGTTTTGTGTAATAGAGCACAAAACAGTGTCAAATACGAACAGATGGGTACACAAGGCACTGAAGACAGTAGTGTTGACATTATTCTATCAACAGAGTTAGCTCAGTAACTAATGAAAGAAAAACATTGACTTATTCTCAGACAATAAATGAGAAGGATATGCAATACTAATCATGTTGCAATGTATGTACAGCTAGTGCTATAATCTAAAGCCCCTTGAGGACAAAAGGGGGTTCACAGTAAACACTAGTGTAATGAATGGGACCTTAAGAAAATTATCAACTTTAAGCTGCACTAAGTCAACTGACTGACCAAGGTTGGTCTCAGGTCATGTCATGGGACAAGGACTGAGGGCTGGTTTCAACCAGTAGGAAAAGTGTAGCCTAATATTTACCAGTACTGTGAAACTAAAGATAACAACACCTTTAAATGGCATACTTACTTGATGAAGGCAGGGCCAGCTGTGAAAGAGAGAAGGAGAAAGAGATTAATGTGGGTATTATGAATGGTGTCACTTAGAAACATTGTGACATTTGGAGTCTGAATTGACACACAGGGGGATTCTCAATTGCATACTCCTCGCTTCCTCTCTCCTCGTCTCCTTTTCAAAACCCAATGGATGAGAAAGCCAGAGGTCCCTCCCATCTGACCTTCTCCTCCAATTGGCTTTGAGGAGGAGAGAAGAGGGGACACGAGGAGTATGCAATTGAGATTCTCCCATAGGCCTAGTTAGTGGGCTAGATTTTGGAATCCATATTCGCTTTGTTTTCCAGTAGGCCCCCACTTACAGGGCGCATCTGGTTCCTCTGTTCTGATCTTAACGATCCGAGTGACTAAAATCATCCCGGCTCCCCATCGTTAGTTTTAATTAGCTCCATCTGTCATCACTCGTTAGCACCATCGCGCCTCGCTGCTGCAGATTGCTGCACTGTGGGACAGCAGGGTGATACATGTAACGTAGCACGGCATTGGTGGTTCCAAAAACCATGGTTACAAAGAGGACTATCGGGAATGTGACAACCATAGAAATAGAAGGACAAGAACATTCAAAGCCCCTAAGACAATGGTGAAATGGGGCTGCCCGTTCTAGTTTTCTACGGTGACAACACATGGGCTGCTAGCCTGCCATAGATTTGCATTCTGTAACCTGTTTGTGGCCTTGATGGAGCATAAACAGCATTTGTAGAGCTGGGCAGTTGACCATGGTTCTGGGAGGGCTTTAAGAGTTTTGCCAGGTGAAGAGCTTACATTTAGGCAACAGTGGAAAGAAAGCAGAAGTAGTGACAGCACATTAGACTGTGGGAGACAGGTGAATTGTGTACTCTAAATTAGATGGAAATGAGACATTCGTCAGGGAAATCTAGCCTAATGCAGTCTCAGATACAAACTGATGTTTTCCATTAAATGATTAGCCACCGACAGTCCACTGCAATATTTTAGTGCATGGAGAAGACTGGAGGGTTGACAATGAAATGAGCCCTCCTCTATTGAGTAGTGTCAGACATCAAGAAAGCCCATATCTTATCACTTCACTTAGGCTATCTTATCCTTAAGTAATGTTATGTTGCAGTATTTTATCTGATGCCCTTCAGAAAATAGGCTAACCAAAGTCAATTACACAAGTTACATTACTTTGGAGGACAACAAAACATAAAATGAGACCAAATTTAGAGCAATGAGTCACCCCTACATTAATTACCTAGGTGTTATAGGCTAACTTTTACCACTCAAATCAAAATGTTGAATTCAGCTATAGTAGTTTTTCCAAGTGTGACCTTGCCTATTTTTAGATGAGAAAACATTTATATGACCTAGACTTCAACTTAAAGGAGAATCCTTAATGTTAACTAACAGGAATTGATTGAGGTCAAGTTGAGGAGACGGTTTTCAGTTCTTGAAATGGTAAAGCATTCCATGCGCTGCAAAGTTTTTAATATAAAAGCAAATGGTAGCCTACATATTGTGAGGATCAATAGATATGCATTACACTGTAACAAAAGAATGGTAAGCCTCTCTACAGCTCAGTTGGTAGAGCATGGCGTTTGCAACGCCAGGGTTGTGGGATCATTTCCCACGGGGAGCCAGTATGAAAATGTATGCACTCACTAACTAACTGTAAGTCGCTCTGGATAAGAGCATCTGCTAAATGACTAAAAATTTAAAAAATGTAAATGTATCAGTATATAGATTACACTACAAAAACATGTTTTGGGTGGTTGGCAACATTCCTCCCACTGTATCAGGGTCTGACCTCATAACCACCCTATGGAAAGAAGAAGGCATGAAACGCTGTCCAGGTCAAAGTCTGAATATTGACCCAGAGTCTATGGGAGCTTAGTATTAACCAACAGACAATGTTTCCATCAGGAAGAGAGGACATGCCTTCCCATAATAAGGGCCAATACAGAAGAAATCTCAAGATTAGTGGTATTCCCATCTCCTACCTTTCATTTGAAATTAGGTGGATATGGTCAGTGAAAAACGAATTTCTTTAAGCATCCACCATACATGCTTATTTCCAACTAGAATGGGTTTTCAGGCCAACGCCTATGAAGAGGAAAGGAGCCTCTTCAGACTACTGAGACGCTCCTGTAGTCAAATTAGTGTCTGCTCTGCAGAAAATGTGACCACTCTTACTCTCCACAGGTCTCTCCAGCTATGTTGTTACATTCAAATATAGGCTGTGGCTCTGGCGAAGGAGACTTCCTCCTGCTGCCTCCCTATCTCCCTCGTAGACTATCAATATCAGCTACTGGAAGCTTAGGCCTACATCCTCAACAGGGATAGGGGTACTCAAGTGGACTTACTCTAGTATAAGTGAGACACGCATCTCCAAATAATTTCTCACTAGCTGATACCATTTTCTAAAGGAAATCGAGATTAACACTATTCCTCTTTGCATGAATAATGTACATAAAATATCTAGTTCTATTTTTTTATTCAAAAATATCTAGTTCTATTTTTCATTTTCATTGAGAACAGTTTAGGAATGTGTGTTCCATCAAGTCTCATTGCTCATCAACTGTACTGGAGAGTATTTGCTGTCGTGGACACTGTGGGTCTATTCTTACTCCTTCATAGTGATAGTACCTCTGACCCCAATCCCACTCTTGCCCCTAATCTGACATTAACCCCATAGACGTGACTGAACTCGACATGAATGAGTCAGTGAGACAAACTACATGCATGTTTACAATACAAACAATGCAACTGGCGCCAACAACTTTGCAGAAACTTGAAGGTCAATGCCTGCTGTGTGTAATACATGATTTAGGTGTCAATATTGGCTAGTATCTAAACTGGTGACAATATGTGCTTGGTAGAATCAATGATTGTTTAGTGAATGAGTGAGGGTCACCAAAGTTATCCATTGCCTATAGCAGAGTGTGTCATAGTTATTAACACACCCAATGCAGAGACTCAACCTCAACCACTGACTGAGCTCCAAGCAGCAAGCAGGTGTGTGCAAGTGAGGCATTCACTGTCACATTGCAAACGTCAGATCGATACATTGTTGCTGTAGCTTGCACACAGGTGCAGCTGAAAAGGGACATGAATCAAGTTCCAAAATAATGATTTTGGCAAGATGCTGATAGCTAGCCAACTAGGTTACGTCCATAATAGCCAAATAATGGACTAAAAGAGTCTAACATTACTCCTTAGTCCAAGGACCTTACATGTTCTGTTTAAAGGCGAATTGGTAGCCTGGGTACCAGTCTCTTTAGCTAATCCACTCCCTGTACTCCATATCATGTGCCAATGACAAGGAGTGGCACGTTTGCTAAATATATTGGTATTCAGACTAGCGAATTGGCTCTGGAAGCCTTAACAGCCAAATACTCTATCGATTCTCACAATCGATTCTAAATTGCGGTATGGTTCTAGAAACATAAATCCCTTTACTTTCATGACATCAAAATAATGTCACAAATGCAAAATACACAGTTGCAGCTGACAGTATTTTCAGTAACAACATGTTTGTAGCTTCCATCTTTCGCTAACACGGTGTTCGGAGACGCAGATCGCTAATTAGCACAGATAGTCCACTCCGTCTTCCGTCTGTTTTCAATAAACAAGCGATGTAACATGGTAATATGGTCGTGTGGGAACTCTATAAATTGTGTATCCATTTAACCTTTTTATTATTTGTCGCTTCCAAAACCGTAAGGAAAGCGATTCGTGTTAATGTTCAGACCGAGCGTCTGGCCTCTTAGCGAAACTCCCCCATACATAAGAAGCCTTCGTCCAATGACTTATGTGTAATGGAACTCAGAGTAATGATCAAGGGCTACGACCAACTAAAGCCAGGTAGCGATATTGTACAACCATCTAATTTACCTAGCTAAATTGAATAAAATGTTAATAAAATGTGAGAATCAAGTTATGAGGTGAGGAGCATATATCAGTCAAATACACTTTATTTCGATGGGTTGGGTTAGCTAATGTTTGAAACTCAGCCAACCAACAACACTCATTCATGATTAATGTTATCTACTAGCTAGAGTGACTTCAAGTTAGACATCTTGCTTGCTAGCCAGCTAGTTAATATTTAACTACATAAAAATAAACCTTGTCATCGACGTATGGGTGTGATCCGACAAACAACCCGCTTGTTATTGAACAGAAGCTAGCAAACTGACATTTGTTAGAAAAGGTAAACATGGCAATGCCCGCTGGCTATGTATGTAAGTAAGTAAGCTGTTAGCAGGCTAAAACATTCCTAGTACTCGCGATTGACCTAAAGTATCCCCCGGCTCGTACCAGAACAAGTGCCCGCACAAGCTGATGACAGCGTCCCTTGCTGTGTCCAAACAAATGTTGCATTCGAATGTGGCCCGATCTGGCTCGCGTTCTCCTTCTCCGCCGCTTCCTCCCGGGCCATCGCGCTCGTTGCTGCTCTCACCAGCCGGGAACTCTCCTCTGTTTGCGGGCCCGCCGTCACTCAAGGACCGGGGATCCGCGGCCGCCATAATTATTTACTGAAAAAGTAATAACTCGGGCAGACGAGAGCTAGCTTCGAGATTTCACTTTACATGTGCACCACCTCTTCCGTTTCCGTAAAAAAAATGGGAGGAGTTTGAAGCACAGCGTTTCTAAACAGCGAGACTTCCGGGAACGCTTGCGAAACAGACCAAGCAGACCAGTCCCGGGTTTGAGAAGTCAATGAGAGAAGTCAAAAATTATTCGTTAGTTGTTAATTTTCACGAAATCTAAAGGCATAGCCTAGATTCGAGCCAATATCTTAAAAAGTGTAAATATTATTACTCAGGTAGGAAGCTCAAGCTCTATACTAATATTCTACAAGATGAACAGGAAATCAAGCAGTAGAAATGTGAGGTGCTGGTACTCAGCTCCGGTGAGCTCCTGCCCAAGTCAAACACTGGTCCAAGGAATGAATATCCTGATGATCAATAAAATATATCTATAAAGCCCTTTTTACATCAGCAGTTGTCACAAAGTGCTTACAGGCCTACAGAAACCCAGCCTAAACCCCCAATGGAAATTACCCTTACAAAAATGTACCATGGTACAACTTTGGTACTTTAATTCATACTTCATGGTACTTTCACTTATACCATGGTATAGTCTGAATCATGGAATTTTTTTTTTTTTTTTTTTTTTTTTTTTTTTTTTTTGTCATTTAGCAGACGCTCTTATCCAGAGCGACTTACAGGAGCAATTAGGGTTAAGTGCCTTGCTCAAGGGCACATCGACAGATTTTTCACCTAGTCGGCTCGGGGATTAGAACCAGCAACCTTTCGGTTACTGGCACAACGCTCTTACCCACTAAGCTACCTGCCGCCCTATGTACCATGGTTTTGTACCATGGTTTTAGCCTTGAGGTATGATGGTACTACCATGGTGCTGCCATTGTACCAAAATATTACCATGGTATTGCATCATTTATACCATGGCATAGATATGAATCATGGAAATGTACCATGGTTTTAGCTTTGAAGTATGATTGTACTGCCATGCACCTAAATAATACAATGGTATTGCCTCATTTTTACCTTTGGTTTTAACCTGCATTATACATTCTACCACGGTAACGCACAATTATGCTAAATGGTACCAAAAATGATTATATGGTACCATCTTTATTAATTGTGCGTTACCCTAGTACAATGGCAGTATAATGCATTAAATAAGGTCAAAAAAGGTTGGTTGGTATTATATTGATGAATTTATATACCAGTATGGGCAAGTTTCTGATAAAGTCATAGGCAGGCTACTATTGTTTCTTCTAGTTTGTCTGTAACAGCAAAGAAAAAGGGAAATAGTTGCTGTGAAAAAGGGGTAATACTTTCTGTATTAATAGTACCGTTTTTTGCTCATGTTTGGGTTCCCTGTGTTGCCAACCTGAAATGTGGGAGAATGTGAGATACAGTGCATTCGGAAAGTATTCAGACCCCTTCACTTTTTCCACATTTTGTTATTTTACAGACTAATTCTAAAATTGATTACATTGTTTTTTTCCCTCATCAATCTACACACAATACCCCATAATGACCAACAAAAACAGGTTTTTATACATTTTTGCAAATGTATAAAAAGTGAAATATCACATATACATAAGTATTCAGACCCTTTACTCAGTACTTTGTTGAAGCACCTTTGGCAGCAATTACAGCCTTGAGTCTTCTTGGGTATGACGCTACAAGCTTTACAAGCTTGGCACACCTGTATTTGGGGAGTTTCTCCCATTCTTCTCTGCAGATTCTCTCAACCTCTGTCAGGTTGGATGGGGAGCGTCGCTGCACAGCTATTTTCAGGTCTCTCCAGAGATGTTCGATTGGGTTCAAGTCCGGGCTCTGGCTGGGCCACTCAAGGACATTAGAGACTTGTCCCGAAGCCACTCGTGCGTTGTCTTGGCTGTGTGCTTAGGGTCGTTGTCCTGTTGGAAAGTGGAAGGGAAAGGGAAAGGGGGATACCTAGTCAGTTGTACAACTGAATGCATTCAACTGAAATGTGTCTTCCGCATTTAACCCAACCCCTCTGAATCAGAGAGGTGCGGGGGCTGCCTTAAATCGACATCCACGTCATCGGCACCCGGAGAACAGTGGGTTAACTGCCTTGCTCAGGGGCAGAACGACAGATTTTGACCTTGTCAGCTCGGGGAACCTTCACCCCAGGTCCTGAGCGCTCTGGAGCAGGTTTTTAAATCAAGGATCTCTCTGTACTTTGCTCCATTCATCTTTCCCTCGATCCTGACTAGTCTCCCAGTCCCTGCCGCTGAAAAACATGCCCACAGCATGATGCTGCCACCACCATGCTTCACCGTAGGGATAGTATTGGCCAGGTGATGAGTGGTGCCAAAGAGTTCAATCTTGGTTTCATCACACCAGAGAATCTTGTTTCTCATGGTCTGAGAGTCCTTTAGATGCCTTTTGGCAAACTCCAAGCGGGCTGTCATGTGCCTTTTACTGAGGAGTGGCTTCCGTCTGGCCACTATACCATAAAGGCCTGACTGGTGGAGTGCTGCAGAGATGGTTGTCCTTCTGGAAGGTTCTCCCATCTCCACAGAGGAACTCTGGAGCTCTGTCAGAGTGACCATCGGTTTCTTGGGCACCTCCCTGACCAAGGCCCTTCTCCCCCGATTGCTCAGTTTGGCTGGGCGGCCAGCTCTAGGAAGAGTCTTGGTGGTTCCAAACTTCTTCCATTTAAGAATGATGGAGGCCAATGTGTTCTTCGGGACCTTCAATGCTGCAGACACTTTTTGGTACCCTTCCCCAGATCTGTGCTCTACGGACAATTCCTTCGACCTCATGGCTTGGTTTTTGCTCTGACATGCACTGTCAACTGTGGGACCTTATATAGACAGGTGTGTGCCTTTCCAAATCATGTCCAATCAATTGTATTTACCACAGGTGGACTCCAATCAAGTTGTAGAAACATCTTAAGGATGATCAATGGAAACAGGATGCACCTGAGCTCAATTTCAAGTCTCATTGCAAAGGGTCTGAATACTTATGTAAATAAGGCATTTCTGCTTTTTATTTCGAATACATTTCCAAAATATTCTAAAGAACCTGTTTTCGCTTTGTCATTATGGGTTATTGTGTGTAGATTGATGAGGATTTGTATTTATTTAATCAATTTTAGAATAATGCTGTAACGTAACAAAATGTGGAAAAAGTGAAGGGGTCTGAATACTTTCCTAATGCACTCTAAATAAATTATACTGTAGATAAAATGTTTTTTGTTTTGTTTTATTGATCATGGATGCCAACCTCATATGCTTCAGAGTAGATTGGATTTATCTGAGGGCCAACCTCTATGCATGGATAGATTGATGAGGTAAATTATGACTGGATTCTTGTATCTGATATTTGTTTTTGCATGTGCTTTTGCTCTCTTTTGTCAGGATACGAGGATGGAAGATATGTTGGCAACTCAACTCAATAAAGGTAAGCTGTCACCCAGCATATACAAGTGTCACCCAGCAAATACAAGTGAGAACACTGCATTGCAAAAAGGAACATGACACATGCAATGTTAATTTCTTCCTTTGAGAACAGACAAAGTGCTTAACGGATTCAATCTATTTTCATACTGGACATACAATAAAGCTGGGGTCCTATCTGGTGTCAAACATTAAGCCCTCATGGACAATAGGGATTTCTGCTTCAGGTGAGCTATTCATTATTAAAGTCCAAGAAAATAGCAGTGTTAACAAGACAGAGCTGCTCTTCCTCCCGGGGAAGGCCTGCCCGCTCCAAGACCTCTGCAGCACGTTTGACAACTCCAAGGTGTTCCCCTCCCAGATTTCAAAGAACCTTGTCGCTCTCTGCAAACATCAAAGCAGTGACTCACTCTTGCATGTTCATGCTCTGTCTACAGCATTTGGAGAGTACGACCCTACCTCACACAGGAAGCGGCGCAGGTCCTAATCCAGGCACTTGTCATCTCCCGTCTGGACTACTGCAACTCGCTGTTGGCTCGGTTCCTCGCTTGTGCCATCAAACCCCTGAAACTTATCCAGAATGCTGCAGCCTGCCTCGTGTTCAACCTTCCAAAGTTTTCCCATGTCACCCCGCTCCTCCGCACACTCCACTGGCGCACACTCCACTGGCTTCCAGTCGAAGCTCACATCCACTACAAGACCATGGTACTTGCCTACGGAGCAGCAAGAGGAACTGCACCTTCGTAGCACCTTCAGGCTATGCTCAAACCCTACAGCCCAACCCGAGCACTCCGTTCTGCCACCCCTGGTCTCTTGGCCCTTCCCCACCCTACCGGAGGGCAGCTCCTGCTCAGCCCAGTCCAAGCTCTTTGTCCTGGCACCCGAATGGTGGAACCAGCTTCCCCCTGAAGCTAGGACAGCAGAGTCCCTGCCCATCTTCCAAAAACATCTGAAACCCTACTTCTTCAAAGAATACCTTAAATAATTTCCCCTTTACTAGCTCTGACTTTGCTGATAGCTACTTTGAGGAAAAATGTACTTACTATGACTGATATGTGCTTATCCCACCTGTTATCTATGTTAGAAATGTCGATCAAATGTAGGCCTATGTAATTAGATTGTAAGGATAAAGATGTATTTAGGCTCTAAATAGTCATACACCCAAAACAGTACACATAATAACCAATGATAGGTGGCGACATCAACCATTTTATGAGCATGTAGTGCCTTTTGCTTCCAAAAATACAGGAGGTTGTCTCTCCCACAAGCTTCGGTTCAGGCTTCAAGTTGCAGTTGGTGAGCAATGTTCAGTCGACTGCAGTCGAAGTTCATGACCTTTGATTTGTTGTAAAGGTCATGCATATTTTGGTCAGGCAAATGTTATACCCATAATGCAACACACTTTGAAATGCAACTTCTTGACAAAAGTGATCCGCTGGAATGCACCCACTGTGTCCCGGTGTTGTTGCAATTCATGCTTGTATCAAGGTGACATCTAGTTGGTTATCAGAAGCTAGGTTTCCATCCAATTGGCGACAGATTTCATGCGAATATTCTAAAATCTGCATAAAGAAAATATGCGAATTTTCCCACCAGTGGTGTGTTTCCACCAAACTGACTTGATGCTGATAAAAGTCAGTGCGTGATGACACAGTGCACAGAATGTACTTTTCAGTTTTCATGTACCTAATAAAAATCGAAAGTTCAATGTGTTTCCATCGCATTTTCCACTTTACCGATAGTTTTGTGAGCTCTAGCCAACAGTTTCCAGATACAGTGTGGGTAGGCTATTGTACTGATGAGATTATAACGGCAGTCAAGCATCGATCATCATGTCACCAGAATAAATGTATACAGTGGCTTGCGAAAGTATTCACCCCCCTTGGCATTTTTCCTATTTTGTTGCCTTACAACCTGGAATTAAAATGGATTTTTTGGGGTTTGTATCATTTGATTTACACAACATGCCTACCACTTTGAAGATGCAAAATAATTTGTATTGTGTTACAATAAGACAAAAACAGAAACCTTGAGCGTGCATAACTATTCACCCCCACATAGTCAATACTTTGTAGAGCCACCTTTTGCTGTAATTACAGCTGCAAGTCTCTTGGGGTATGTCTCATCTAGCCACTGGTATTTTTGCCCATTCTTCAAGGCAAAACTGCTCCAGCTCCTTCAAGTTGGATGGGTTCCGCTGGTGTACAGCAATTTTTAAGTCATACCACAGATTCTCAATTGGATTGAGGTCTGGGCTTTGACTAGGCCATTCCAAGACATTTAAATGTTTCCCCTTAAACCACTCGAGTGTTGCTTTAGCAGTATGCTTAGGGTCATTGTCCTGCTGGAAGGTGAACCTCCGTCCCAGTCTCAAATCTCAAACAGGTTTCCCTCAAGAATTTCCCTGTATTTAGCGCCATCTATCATTCCTTCAATTCTGACCAGTTTCCCAGTCCCTGCCGATGAAAAACATTGTGAATGGATGTATGGAGCCATATCCAGCTCTGACGAAGTCACTGATAGCCCACTCCCACATGACTGCCAGGCTGCCATCCACCTTTGCACATAACTTTCTGACACAAGGGTTGAATGGTTAGACATTATTAGGATGATTACAAAGGGCTGAAGTATTTTTATACAGCATTTTTTATTATTTTTTATTTACAAAGTTGGATGAAGGGACATTTCACAGCCATGCAGCACAGTGAGGTAAACTGTATTCATTGTGTAAAATATGTGACTCTTCACATGATTCGATTTTTTTAAAAGTCAAGTTTCACAAAATAATGTTTTTCATCTTTGGTATTATGGCGGTCCACAAACAAAATGTTGTCATAGGTGCACCTACTGTATTGGCTGTGTATCAGCCTACTATTCTGTAGTTTGAATTCATTACACTTTGTGAAAAGATTGCCCTACCAACTAACCCTGCACCGATTAAAACCTCACCACTATTCCACTACTTTGGCCCTATCTGATCCTACTCGAGGCCAGCAGCCTGGGAGAACGGGACACTGTCATTCAAAACATCTTGTAACTCTTCTGCAGTATAATCTTGTACACCCAAGTATTCCTCTGCAGCTGCCACCACAACATCTATCCTCTGTGATTTACGTTCCATTCCTGCGTTCCAATTGACAACCATGGCCATGAACGCCACAAACACAACCTTAGTGAAGCACGTTATTCCTATCACTCTCTAATGGCCTCGGCCTACTCACAGGGATCGTCTTAGGATCCCTCACCCTGGACCCATCTTCCTCTACTACTCTCTTCACTGCCTCAGCATACGACACCTTCTGCACTGCCTCTGAAGCTAAGCAGGGTTGGTCCTGGTCGGTCCCTGGATGGGAAACCAGATGATGCTGGAAGTGGTGTTGGAAAGCCAGTAGGGGTCATGTTTCATGCTGGTCTAAGGAGATCCCAATGCCCCAGGGCAGTGATTGGGGACATTGCCCAATGTAGGGTTGTGGTCCTCTGTAGCTTAGCTGGTAGAGCACGGTGCTTGTAACGCCAAGGTAGTGGGTTCGATCCCCGGGACCACCCATACACAAAAATGTATGCACGCATGACTGTAAGTCGCTTTGGATAAAAGCGTCTGCTAAATGGCATATTATTATTATTATTATTATATTATTAGGGTGCAGTCTTTCGGATGGGATGTTAAAAGGGTGTCCTGACTGCCTGTGGTCATTAAAGATCCCATAGCACTAATTGTAAGAGTAGGGGTGTTAACCCCGGTGTCCTGGTTAAATGTCCAGTATGGCCCTCATGCCACCTAATCATCCCCAGCATCCAATTGGCTCATTCATCCCTGTCCTAACTACTCCCCAAGTTGTTGCTGTAAATGAGAATGTGTTCTCAGTCCACTTACCTAGTAAAATAAGGGTTACATTATTTATTTTTTTACTCAACATGCCTTTCTCTCACTGGACACCTATGATCTCCAGCACCATGGGTACCCCTACAGTTTACACACACAACTTTTTCCACTGATACTACACATTGTTTTGTCTCATGTCCTCCAGCACACTTCTGCTGCCACATGACCATAAGCTTGACACCTAAAACACTGTAATGGATTCGGGACAAAAGCTCTCACGGGATAACTGACACATCCTAACTTGACTTTATCTGGTAAAGACTGCATCAAAACTCAATAGTACAGACAGTGTCTTCTCTGTTCCACCACACTCTCCATCGGGTCTGTGTTGCACCAAACGGCGGGCATCACAGACACCGGAAATCTTCAGCTTCAGTTGATCCTCCACAACACTTAACGGCACTCCAATTATCACTCCTTTCAACGGTGCCTTGCTCCCTAGAGGAAAGCAAGTCAAAGTTCTTGTCCCCAGACACGTGGTGTGGAGCGCACGCTCCCTCTGGACGGCAGAAACGCAAAAAATCTACACGATTCCACTTCGAGTAACTTTCACCGACCCAACATTCTCCAACCTCTTCTCCACCCTACCTTACACCACATATGGATCTGCCAGAAAGCAAGGATCAATTCTATCCAAATATCTCACTTCCACTGGGCCGGAATAATCTTTGTCATCATCAGGACGAGGCTCAAACTCAGCGGTCTTCACCGCACCTGCCACCACAGTTAATTCATCCTCACTCTCGTCATCTTCAATTTCCTTCTGTAGCTCTTCCAAAGGTTTTGTGTGATCCACACATATTCACTCAAAACATGTTCCACTTTTCTCCTTTCTTTCCTGTCTGCCATCTTCTCTTTCATCAAATTTGAGAAGGCTTGTGCATTCCCCCATTCTATATTTACTTATAACAAATAACATTGTATTTGTCACATGCACCGAATACAACAGGTGTAGATCTTACTTACAAGCCCTTAACCAACAATGCAGTTCAAGAAATAGAGTTAAGAAAATATTTACTAAATAAACTAAAGTAACAAAAAAAAAAATGTAATAACAATACCAAGGCTATATACAGGGGATACCGGTACCGAGTCAATGTGTGGGGGTAAAGGTTAGTCAAGGTAATTTGTACATGTAGGTAGGGGTAAAGTGACTATGCATAGATAATAAACAGCGAGTAGCAGCAGTGTAAAAACAAAAGGGAGGGGATGTCAATGTAAATAGTCCGGGTGGCCATATCATTAATTGTTCAGCAGTCTTATGGCTTGGGGGTAGAAGCTGTTAAGGAGCCTTTTGAACCTAGACTTGGCGCTCCGGTATCGCTTGTCGTGCCCTCTTCACGACTGTCTTGGTGTGTCTGGACCATGATAGTTTGTTGGTGATGTGGACACCAAGGAACTTGAAACTCTTGACCCGCTCCACTACAGCCCCGTTGATGTGAATGTGGGTGTGTTCGGCCCTCCATTTCCTGTAGTCCATGATCAACTCCTTTGTCTTGCTCACGTTGAGGGAGAGGTTGTTGTCCTGGCACCACACTGCCAGGTCTCTGACCTCCTCCCTATAGGCTGTCTCATCGCTGTCTGTGATCAGGCCTACCACTGTTGTGTCATCAGCAAACTTAATGATGGTGCTGGAGTCGTGCTTGGCCACGCAGTCATGGATGAACAGGGAGTACAGGAGGGGACTAAGCACGATGAAAACTCTCTTGGTAGATAGTGTGGTCTACAGCTTATCATGAGATACTCTACCTCAGGCGAGCAATACCTCAAGACTTCTTTAATATTAGACATCGGGCACCAGCTGTTATTGACAAATAGACACACACCATCACCCCTCGTCTTACCGGACGTAGCTGTTCTGTCCTGCCGATGCACGGAAAATCCAGCCAACTGTATATTATCCGTGTCGTCCTTCAGCCACGATTCGGTGAAAAATAAGATATTACAGTTTTTAATGTCCCGTTTGTAGGATAGTCTCGAGCGGAGATCATCCAGTTTATTTTCCAGTGATTGCACGTTGGCCAATAGAACGGATGGTAGAGGCGGGTTATCCACTCGCCGACGAATTCTCACAAGGCACCCAGATCTCCGCCCCCTGTATTTCCGTCTTTTCTTCACACGAATGACGGGATTTGGGCCTGGTCTCGGAAAAGCAGTATATCCTTCGCGTCGGACTCATTAAATAAAAAAGAAGTTACAAACAATGCAAAAAAACACACAAAATAGGTTAAAAGAGACGGACACCAGATGTGCAGGGCAGAACACAGGTTTATTCCTAAACTGGACTATTGTTCAGGCCACAGCCTACACCACTAAATTCCAAACGTACACAAATACACAATGTAAAGTTAAGTGGCAGACTGATAGGAGCAGATCAAGAGCCCGAATCGAAAAAGAGAGAGATGAGACAGTAATCCCTATTTATGCATTTCAAAACCCCGCGGGATTACCCATCATTCCCCCCCAACCCCCCAAACTTTCCATCTGTCCTGGCATATTTAACCCCTGCTAGCACCCATGAGAACAATAACACACCCACGAACACAATACCGGGTCGTTACAATAGGTTAGGAGCCTGTTCCACTTTTCAAATGTTTTCCTGTCCACCATCTTACCCCCATCTCATGGCCACACATTTTTTTTAGTTTTTACTTCATATACGCATATTTAAAATCAGCAGTACTTCACAGCACATAACGGAACTGACTTGAGACAGGAACAAAAGTCTTGATTCTGACGTTCTGTTTCCAGACGGACATATTCAGCTGTTACTCAACCAAGCAAACGTGTTTTTATATTTTCCATGCTGCTTGATATGATTTATTTGCTCGTAATGTGATTTGTTATGAATCCGCGAATAGTGTGTACTAGTAAATCGATACTGACTCAGATTTACAGAATATAGGTAATGCTCTACGATATGCAATTGCGTTCATTTGAGTGATATTTGTGTGGGATTTTTCAAGAAGTAATCCTGTCGGACAATCTCGCAAACTCCTTTTAGTACATTATTGGGCTAGCAAGCTAGTCACAATGACGATCAAACGACAAAAGCAAGCCAAGAAAACCATCAATTTCTACAAACACAACTTCAGTTTTAGAGAGCCCTTTCAAATTCTAATCGACGGGACGTTTTGCCAGGCAGCGCTGAAGAATAAGATTCAAATCAAAGAGCAGATGCCGAAATACCTCATGGGGGAGGTGCAACTTTGTACTACAAAGTGAGTGGGGTTTGCTATTGTAGTAAATGTCACACTGTCATGAGTTTTACCCAACGACAGTTTTTTTTAAACCTTATGTCCTACAGTTGTGCGCTGAAGGAACTTGAATCGCTGAAGGACCTCTATGGTGCCAAACTCATCCTGCAGCGGTATCAGGTTAGGAACTGCAAGCATTTCAAGAACCCTGTATCTGCGTCAGAGTGTCTGCTGTCCATGCTGGAAGGGACCAATCCTCACCACTACTTTGTTGCCACACAGGTACGTGTTAGGTCGTACCTTTACTTACCTGGGTCAATCAATGGTCGTGTTTCCCTGCTCAGACCTTGCATGAGTCAACCAATGGTTGCATGCCGCGTCATCAACTGCCAAATTGCTATAACATGGGGGTCATGTTCCTCTGCTCAGACGTTGCTGATGCATGCCAGATCTTACAACGCCTGGATAGGTATCAATGCATATCAGGTATCAGCTATCCAGATCATATGTTATAGCAATCTGGTGCCCTCGATGGCGTGGCACGCAACCATTGGTTGATGCATGCAACTTCTGAGCAGGGGAACACAACCATGTGGTTAGCTGATAGGTATTTTATGTATCTAGGCGTGGTAGTTTTGGCATGCGTCAGCAACGCTTGAGCAGAGGAACACGGCCAATGTGCTAGACACTCGTCTCCTCAGGATCAACAACCAATAGTGCCACCTACCTAGCTGCATACATCCAGTCTAGACCAAATGCATTGATTCACCTCTTCCTGTCTGATGTTTAATTTCCAGGACCAAGAGGTGACAGCAGGCCTAAAGAAGATCCCAGGCGTGCCTCTTCTGTATATCATCTTCAACACCATAGTGTTGGACAAGCCCAGCCCGTGCTCGGTGAACCATGTGCAGGCTGTGGCTCTGGGAGAGATGGTCACACCAGCCCAGCAGCAGAGCATCAACAGCCTGAAGGAGGTGCAGGGGATCGGGCAGGATGGAGAGCGCCGGGGCAAGAAGCGTAAGAGGAAAATCTCCAATCCTAACCCACTCAGCTGCCTGAAGAAGAAGAAAAAACAGCCACCGACGCAACCGCTTAAGACTGAGGGCGAGAAGAAGAAACGGAACCGGCAAAGGAAACGCAGCAAGCCAGAGGGTGGGGAGGGTCCATCCCTCAAACCACCCCCAAACCCCTAGTGTGGTGGGAAGAGACTTGTTTATGAGGGAAGTAATAAGAGCTGATTCCCAAAGGCTGAATATAAAATGTATACATATTTTTTTATAGATAAATGACCGTTTAGATCTTTAGTAAACACATTTGCTCTGTATTTGCCAGATCAATGGCATTTTCATTGGAATTCAAGAGTTCCAACTTCAAATGTTTGGAGAACATCAACACAATGAATTCAGTCTTTTATTTTATTTTTATGTTTCCTTTATTTTGGCAGTTACCTACAGCATCTTTGCAATAATTCTAAATAATAATGATGTTTTCATGCGAACCTTAGGCAATGCAAAATACAACGAAGTTACTTTATTTATAGTAACAAATGTGGTGAACAACTTTGAATATTTATTAGACAGTTAATAATGCAAAGTTGAAAGGCATGATCAATCATCTTATTTAATGATAACATAATATTTTATGGCATGATGATGGTATTGACTTTATGAAAGATAAGCAGCATGATATGTCATATTAGCCACACAGGACACCTGCTATGGTATTTGTGAGATTCCTTAGGACCTCAGTTTTTCCTAGATAAAACACAATGTGAAGATTTTTTGTTGTTGCTGTGGCTTGAACTGTCAATAATTTCCCTCTCCCTTTGTTTTTACTTATTGCTGAGTGAGTGAGTGGGTATCCATGGAGTCTTTAATTTATTATCTTGTAATTACCCAGTATGGAAAAGGGGGCACTTGCAGTTGCTTTTGCTTTTTTTTGGGGGGGGGGATGAATTCAGTCTTTCTATTGTCACTTTTCATGATGTCATGTTTCTAAAGATGTATCCACAAACAGTTCACAATCTTGTTTTTGAATACCATAAGGTATTGATATTCTAAGTCATTATTATTATAGTAAGGCCATTATATCCCATTTGTAAGTCGCTCTGGATAAGAGCGTCTGCTAAATGACGAAAATGTAAATGTAATACCCAATTCGCTGGCTCAATGAACCAACTATGAAAAGGATCGTCATTGACATGAACTGTTAACACAGTATTCATTTTATTAGAAAAGTTACATCAGTTGCTGGGGCTCAGGACTACAGGCATGGCATCATAAAACAGTCTCAATGTGTAAGAATACACTTTAGCAACAGTATCTACAAGATGTAGTTTTGGGTTTTATACAAAAAGGAAAAAGCAAGTTTACCAGCACATAGTTCAAAAGAAAGGATGCACCGAAACATTACATGACATACAATTTCAGAGGGAGTCGATGGATATCAAAACAATGCATTCATTGTAAAGGACAGTCAGAATTATTATAAATCTGCTTCTTGTGCTCTGCAGCTATGAACCATAAGACGAGCAATATCGTGTTCAAGCTATCGAAGAATGACTTGCAACGAGTTGAGTCCAAACACCTATGCACATAAGTGAATTGTGGTGATGTTTCCCACTATAATAATAATAATAATAAGCCATTTAGCAGACGCTTTTATCCAAAGCGACTTACAGTCATGCGTGCATACATTTTTGTGTATGGGTGGTCCCGGGGATCGAACCCACTACCTTGGCGTTACAAGCGCCGTGCTCTACCAGCTGAGCTACAGAGGACCACTAATTGTTATCATTGCATCAAAACTGTTTTAGATTATTAATAAATACCAAATGAAAGTTCTCTATATACCAGAGATTGCTTGACATTCAGCTGCATCAAAGTTAAATGAAATGTAGTTTCCTGACACCCACTGGGCTGAGTGACAGTCGTCTTAATATTTAGAGATTGTGATGAAAATGATAGCTTAGAATATCTGATGTGAAAGATGCAGCCTTAACTAAGTCTAATTCTGACCAAACCATTAACATCTGCAATAGATAGTTGATACGAGTATTTTCATTGTCACAGTATGTGACTTAAACAAAGGTAATTATTAAAGAAATACCATAAAAAATGACTTTGAATAAAATATATTTCAAAATGGAACATGTAATAATAGTTTCTATTTTTAAAATCTACATGATCCTCAAATCACCTCAACAATGGAGACATATTTTAAATGTCTGCAGATATTTGAAAAGAGAGTACAGTCAGAGACTCAAGCACTTATAAACACAGAATTATAAGAACTAACCCATTGGAATGCTTGAAGCTACTAAGCTACTGTTGGTCTTCAAGATGAAGATTAGATAGACCACTGCGCCACTCGGGAGACTAAGGCACTGCATCGCAGTGCTAGCTGTGCCACTAGAGATCCTGGTTCGAATTCAGTCGTAGCCGGCCGCGACTGGGAGACCCATGGCCCAGCGTCTTCCAGGTTAGTGTAGTAGAGCATGGCGTTTGCAACGCCAGGGTTGTGGGTTCGATTCCCACGGGGGGGCCAGTAATAAAAAAAGTATGTATGCACTCACTAACTGTAAGTCACTCTGGATAAGAGCATCTGCTAAAAAAAGATTGCTGGTGTATGCAATTCAGTTGCATTTCAGAAACTTGCCCAGTACTACATGCTCCTTTTGGCTAAAGGGTATAGAACATGAGAACTTAATTTTTTTTATGGGAGGGAAAAGAAACCTCTGAATGCAACATCTGATTGGATTATCACTCGCATTCTATCAAAACAAAGAGCTTTCACTGGATAACAAAAGCCAAAGATAGAAGGCATACAATACTCCCACCAATCATAACATTCAGTTACTTCACCCCCCCCAACCACCACTTGACCTTTTAAAAAAATAATATAGAAAATCACATATACTGAACAGAAATATAAATGCAACATGTAAAGTGTTGGTTTCATGAGCTGAAATAAAAAAGATCCCACACATTTACCATATGCACAAAATGCTTTTTTCTCTCCAATTTTGTGTACAAATTTGTTTATATCCCTGTTAGTGAGCATTTCTCCATTGCCAAGATAATCCATCCACCTGACAGCATGATCATTACACAGGTGCTCCTTGTGCTGGGGACAATAAAAGGCCACTCTAAAAATGTGCAGTTTTGTCACACAACACAATGCCACAGATGTCTCAAGTTTTGAGGGAGCGTGCAATTGGCATGCTGACTGCAGGAATGTCCACCAGCGCTGTTGCCAGAGAATTCAATATACATTTTTCTACCATAAGTCGCCTCCAACGTCGTTTTAGAGAATTTGGAAGTATATCCAACCGGCCTCGACCGCAGACCACGTGTAGCCACGCCAGCCCAGGCTTCTTCACCTGCAGGTGGAGGGTGTGCTGAAGAGTATTTCGGTCTGTAATAAAGCCCTTTTGTAGGGAAAAACTCATTCTGATTGGCTGGGCCAGGATCCCCAGTGGGTGGGCCTGGCTACCAAGTGGGTAGGCCTATGCCCTCCCAGGCCCACCCATGGTTGTGCCCCTGCCCAGTCATGTGAAATCCATAGATTTGAAAATGTTGCCTGTTGCGTTTACATTTTTGTCCAGTGTAGGTAAAAAAAAAAAAGCACAGGGTCAGAACTAAATAACTTCCTATACAAACAAACAAAAAACAACAGTTTTAGAGTAAAAGCAGCCAGTGTCATGTCTCTAGATGAGGTGGAAGCGGGCTCCAGGGGTGGCGATGATGTCGCTGTAGGGCTCAGTCTGGTTGAGCTCCACCGCCTGCTGTTTCTTCAGAACCAGGAAGCTGTAGAACTTGGCTGCAGCCTGCTTCTTGTTGTTGTTGTTTCTGCACAGATCCAGCAGGCTAATTTGCTGGGCCCCCGTCTTGGCCATCACCCTCTGTTGAAGGGATGGAGAGAACAGGTACGTCACGGTTAAGACCCGATTCTGGTTAGAAATGTTGGGGTTGTTCACTTGGTGGGTCACAACAATTAGTCGAGTTCTCAGTGCTCTCGTAGAACCTCTCCTATGACATACCTGCAGGCCGTGGAGCATCTGCTGAGTTCTCTTGTTCCATCTCCTCTCCTCTCGGTCCTGGTCCCCGGCCTGACCTTCCTCATCCTTTCATGGAACACACATAACATTAACTCTACATAAATAATACACTTAAGACAATATACAAGCAACGCAAGACAGTAAAGTAAGAGACATTCTTCTGCGTACTCCTAGGCCTACAGTGCCTTCAGAAAGTATTAATACACCATTACTTATTCCACATTCTGTTGTTACAGCCTGAATTCAAAATTGATTAAATATATTTTTTTTCCCCTCACCCATCTACAGACAATTTTATTGAAAATGAAATACAGAAATACACATCGTCAATGTTGGGCGATTAGGCCTGGCTCGCAGTCTGACTTCCAATTCATCCCAAAGGTGTTCGATGAGGTTGAGGTCAGGGCTCTGTGCAGGCCAGTCAAGTTCTTCCACACCGATCTCGACAAAGCATTTCTGTATGGACCTCGCTTTGTGCACGGGGGCATTGTCACGCTGAAACAGGAAAGGGCCTTCCCAAAACTGTTGCCACAAAGCTAGAATCACAGAATCGTCTAGAATGTCATGTATGCTGTAGCGTTGAGATTTCCCTTCACTGGAACTAAGGGGCCTAGCCCGAACAATGAAAAACAGTCCCAAATCACTCTTCCTCCTCCACCAAACTTTACAGTTGGCACTATGCATTGGGGCAGGTAGCGTTCTCCTGGCGTCCGGCAAACACAGATGCGTCCGTCGGACTGCCAAATGGTGAAGCGTGATTCATCACTCCAGAGAGTGAGTCCAATGGCGGCGAGCTTTACACCACTCAAGCCAACACTTGGCATTGTGCAGTGATCTTAGGCTTGTGTGCGGCTGCTCGGCCATGGAAACCCATTTCATGATGCTCCCGATGAACAGTTCTTGTGCTGATGTTGCTTCCCGAGGCAGTTTGGAAGTCGGTAGTGAGTGTTGCAACCAAGGACAGACGTTTTTTTAAGCACTATGCGCTTCAGCACTTGCCGGTCCCGTTCTGTGAGCTTGTGTGGCCTACCACTTCGCGGCTGAGCCGTTGTTGCTCCTAGATGTTTCCACTTCACAATAACAGCACTTACAGTTGACCGGGGTAACTCTAGCAGGGCAGAAATGTAACTAATTTACTTGTTGGAAAGTCACTGAGCTCTTCGGTACAGGCCATTCTACTGCCAATGTTTGTCTATGGAGATTGCATGGCTGTGTGCATGTTTTTATACAAGCTCTGTCAAATTGGTTGTTGATCATTGCTAGACAACCATTTTCAGATCTTGCCATAGATTTTCAAGCAGAATTAAGTCAAAACTGTAACTCGGCCACTCAGGAACATTCACGGTCTTCTTGGTGAGCAACTCCAGTGCAGATCTGGCCTTGTGTTTTAGGTTATTGTCCTGCTGAAAGGTGAATTCATCTCCCAGTGTCTGGTGGAAAGCAGATAACCAGGTTTTCCTCTAGGATTTTGCCTGTGCTTAGCTCCATTCTGTTCCTTTTTTATCCTGAAAAACTCCCCAGTCCTTAACAATTACAAGAATACCCATAACATGATGCAGCCACCACTATGCTTGCATTGGATTTGCCCCAAACAACACTTTGTATTCAGGACAAAAAGTTAAATGCTTTGCCACATTTTTTGCAATATTACTTTAGTTCCTTGTTGCAAACAGGAATATTTTTTATTCTGTACAGGCTTCTGTGGGGATTTATTATTCTCATAAATGGATGGGATGACTAACTTAGAAAGAATGCATTAATGATTAAAGCATAAAAAAGGTCTGTACTGTACTGATATAAATTGTTTCACCTAACATGCTGTGATTAATGTGAGGAGCTGTTTTAGGGAGTAGGGGAAGATAAGAATTTGTGTCTCCAAATACTAGACTACACTGCTTCTTTGTGATCTGTGAACCGTCCTTGGACGTAGGAATGGTGTCTATGGGAGCTGGCTCTACAGGTTGTTATGATAAGAACTTATGCCTGGCAACAGTGTGCAACGGTGGAGCGCCAAGAGGGGGGACCAGCCGGTGCGCCAACGGATTGGCTGAGTAAGTCTAAACCACGCTCAGTCTCTACTCTGATTGGCCAGCAGGGAGTGGGAAATATCTCTGTCAGAGTATTTGAAGAAGAACCTGTAACAATGGATTAGTTCTCTGAGTGCCCTGCGTGGTATTTCAGTGGACCCGTATATACGAACATCATATTTACCATTGAAGGTTTTGCATTAATTAAAATACTAGTCTATTTAGAAGACGTGTATTGACCTCTTTTGTTCCTAATACCAGATTTGAATTGACGCAACTTGACACTTCCTTCTTTTGACTGTCAATTAGGTTAATATAGTCGAGTAACTACAATCCTCGTTTTCTCCTATCACAGCCATTAAACTCTAACTGTTTTAAAGTCACCATTGGCCTCATGGTGAAATCCCTGAGCGGTTTCCTTCCTCTCCGGAAACAGTTAGGAAAGACGCCTGTAGCTTTGTAGTGACTGGGTGTATTGATACACCATCCAAAGTGTAATTAATAACTTCACAATGCTCAATGGGATATTCAATGTCTGGTTTATTTTACTTTTACTCATCTACCAATAGGTGCCCTTTTTTGCGAGCCATTGGAAAACCTCCCTGGTTGAATCTGTGTTTGAAATGTACTGCTCGACTGAGGGACCTTACAGATCATTTTATGTGTGGGGTACAGAAATAAGGCAGTCATTTAAAAATCATGATAAACACTATTATTGCACACAGAGTGAGTCCATGCAACTTATTATGTGACTTGTTAAGCAAATGTTTACTCCTGAACTTATTTAGGCTTGCCATAACAAAGGGATTAAATACTTATTGACTCAAGACTTTACAGCTTTTACTTTTCAAGTAACTTGTAAAATAAATACAAAAACATAATTCCACTTTGACATTATGGGGTATTGTGTGTAGGCCAGTGATAATATTTGTAAAAAATGTTTATCTACTGGCCTCCCGAGTGGCGCAGCGGTCTAAGGCGTCACTACAGACCCGGGTTCGATCCCAGGTTGTCACAACCGGCCGGGACCGGGAGTCACAATTGGCCCAGCGTCGTCCGGGTTAGGGGAGGGTTTGGCCGTGGGGGCTTTACTTTGCTCATCGTGCTCTAGCGACTCCTTGTGGTGGGCCGGGTGCCTGCAGGCTGACTTTGGTCGTCAGTTGAACAGTGTTTCCTCCAACACATTGGTGCTTCTGGGTTAAGCAGGCAGGTGTTAACGAGCGTGGTTTGGCGGGTCATGTTTCGGAGGACGCATGACTCGACCTTCGCCTCTCCCGAGCCCGTTGGGGAGTTGCAGCGATGAGACAAGATCGTAATTGGATATCATGAAATTGGGGAGAAAAAGGGGGTAAAATACAACAACAAAAAAATACACTACCAGTCAAAGGTTTGGACACCTATTCATTCAAGGGTTTTTCTTAATTTTTACATTGTAGAATAATAGTGAAGATATCAAAACTATGAAATAACACATATGGAACCATGTAGTAACCAAAAAAGTGTTAAACAAATATATTTTTGATTCTTCAAAATAGCCACCCTTTGCCTTGATGACAGCTTTGCACACTCTTGGCATTCTCTCAACCAGCTTCATGAGTTAGTCACCTGGAATGCATTTCAATTAACAGGTGTGCCTTCTTAAAAGTTAATTTGTGGAATTCCTTTCCTTCTTAATGCGTTTGAGCCAATCAGTTGTGTTGTGACAAGGTAGGGGGGGGGGGGGGGGGGGGGGGGTATACAGAAGATAGCCCTATTTGATAAAAGACCAAGTCCATATTATGGCAAGAACAGCTCAAATAAGCAAAGACAAACAAAAGTCCATCGTTACTTTAAGACATGAAGGTCAGTCAATACGGAACATTTCAAGAACTTTGAACGTTTCTTTAAGTGCAGTCGCAAAAACCATCAAGCGCTATGATGAAACCGCCACTGGAATGGAAGACCCAGAGTTACCTCTGCTGCAGAGGATAAGTTCATTAGAGTTACCAGCCTCAGAAATTGCAGCCCAAATAAATGCTTCACAGAGTTTAAGTCACAGACACATCTCAACATCAACTGTTCAGAGGGGACTGTGTGAATCAGGCCTTCATGGTCGAATTGCTGCAAAGAAACCGCTACTAAAGGACACCAATAAGAAGAAGAGACTTGCTTGGGCCAAGAAACACGAGCAATGGACTTTAGACCAGTGGAAATCTGTCCTTTGGTCTGATGAGTCCAAATTTGTGATTTTTGGTTCCAACCGCCGTGTCTTTGTGAGACGCAGAGTAGGTCAACGGATGATCTCCGCATGTTTGGTTCCCACTGTGAAGCATGGAGGAGGAGGTGTTATGGTGTGGGGGTGCTTTGCTGGTGACACTGTCTGGGATTTATTTAGAATTCAAGGCACACTTAACCAGCATGGCTACCATAGTATTGTGCAGCGATTCGCCTTCCCATCTGGTTTGGGCTTAGTGGGACTATCTTTTGTTTTTCAACAGGACAATAACCCAACACACCTCCAGGCTGTGTAAGGGCTATTTTACCAAGAAGGAGAGTAATGGAGTGCTGCATCAGATGACCTGGCCTCCACAATCCCCCGACCTCAACCCAATTGAGATGGTTTGGGATGAGTTGGACAGCAGAGTGAAAGAAAAGCAGCCAACAAGTGCTCAGCATATGTGGGAACTCTTTCAAGACTATTGTTAAAGCATTCCTGGTGAAGCTGGTTGAGAGAATGCCAAGAGTGTGCAAAGCTGTCATCAAGGCAAAGGGTGGCTATTTGAAGAATCTCAAATATAAAATATATTTTGATTTGTTTAACACTTTTTTGTTTACTACATGATTCCATATGTGTTATTTCATAGTTTTGATGTCTTCACTATTATTCTAAAATGTAGAAAATAGTAAAAATAAAGATAAACCCTTGAATGAGTAGGTGTGTCCAAACTTTTGACTGGTACTATATATATATATATATATATATAAATAATACAAATATTATTTTTTTCTTTCTATTTTAAATTCAGGCTGTAACGCAACAAAATGTGGAAAAGGTCAAGGGGTGTGACTACTTTCTGAAGCCACTGTACATATTTAGCTTCCAAAGGAACATAAACAGAATAGATCAGTGGTCACCAGTCATGGTCAAAGAGAGCCACATTGTCTGCAGGATTTTCTTCCAGCCCTACACTAACACACACAATTCCATCAGCTGTTTAGTGCTTACTTGGAACACAAGTCTGCACACCCTGTAGCTCTCCAGGACCAGGGTTGGAGGTGACCTCTGGCCCATCTTTGTCTCCATCTCACCTCCTCATCCGAGTCGTCCTCTCCATCCTTCTTGTCCATCTTCTCCCCTATCAGGTCCAGCTCGGGGAACTGGCTGAGGTTGGTGCTGTCCTCAGGGGGCAGCTCCACCGTCATGTCCAATTACTGGGACACACCTGAATGGTTGGCTGCCTGTTCCAGAGTACCCATCTGGATGGAGAGAGAAGAAGAATGTTTGAGTGAGTAGGGGGTTGAGTATGGGCAAAAGGTAGAAGCAGGTCAAACTTCTGCTATGAAAAAGCACTAATGAGATCTCCCAGTGGATACAATATCAAACCCCCAAAAGCCTTGTATGCTTGACAAACTGCCTTTGAAAGTTTCCCTAGCCATAGTTAAACAGGGCTTGAGCGAAGAGAGGAGGAAAGAGGCACTCACGGGCAAGGCTGGCTCTGTGTCCTGGGCCTTGCGTTGCTGGCCATGTATGGAGGAGGGTGGGGGCATGACTGACTCGTCCAGGGTGGTCCTGCTTCCCTCCATGGCCAATGCCTGCAGCACACTGGGCTCCTCCAGGATGGTCTGGTCTGGAGCACATACAATTACACATAGAAAGAACATTAAACTGCAGTAATCAAATAAATGTATTGAGTACAAGGACATTAGTATTATGGATGAGGATCGGATGAAGTGCTTATGTCAGATTGGGAGTCTGTCTGCTCCACTGGTGTTGAAGAAATTCAAATTGTACTACTTTAAATGTGTACTACTTTGAATGTATCCACGTGTCTACTTTGAATACTAGCCTATGTCTTGATATAATATCCATGCTGAGAGTTGGCCCTCTAGCCTATAATGGCATCTACTGTAGAGGAATATACTGTTGCCATTCGGTTGTGTTTTAACTGAGTGGAGTATCTCACCAATGATGTCCCTCTGCATAGCCTCCTCTCTGGGCACCTCAGGGTTTTCCAGGTCCTTCAGGAACTCATTCAGGCTGTCTGCCTCACCTCCCTTCCTCCTCTTCCTCATCTCGTCTGGCACCAGGGGGGTCAGGGTGCGGGTGAACGTCTACAGAAAGAGAAAGAGAGGGGGAGAGAGAGAGGAGGGGGGGGGGGGGGGGGGGGGAGAGAGAGAGGATAGTCTGTTGAAAAAATAAAGAGGCTAGGTAGAAACAACAATGCACAAAACCCCTAAAAGTAGTGGCTACATTAGGCCCTTACAAACTGATTGTTGAGAATATAAACTTATATAGAAACGCTCTAATGAAAGAGGTTCAGGAACTAACATGCACACATCTGGGGGGGGAGACAGAAAAGCCATTGCCAGGTGCTGGATTGAGCACAATAATACAGTACACAGCCCTTGTTTGTCTAACTACCAGACCAGTTACTGGGTTACCTTGAGAAGCCTGCTGTTCCAGAGAGGCTGTGCTGGCAGGGTGAAGAGCTTCTCCACACCTCCAGTCTCTTTCCACATCATCAGCTTCTTGGTGGGCGGCGCAAGGTCCAGCGTGGTGACGATGTCAGAGTAGTCGCTGAGCTGGGCACGGATGGTCTTGCTATCCAGCTCCTTCAGGTTGTCCACAATCAGCTTCCTCTTCCTCTTGGCTTTGGTTTCCTTCACTGTGAGGAGTAAAGAGAAAATAACTTGTAAGTGAATAGTGACATTTTGTGGCAGCAGTGGGATCCAGGGTGGAAGGGATGCCTTGAAGGACAAGCAAGTGTTGAAGATCTTTTGAGTGCTACTAAACTCCAAGAAGAGAGCAGTGGTGCTCCTAAGTGAATACGTTACGGCATACAGTGAGGGAAAAAAGTATTTGATCCCCTGCTGATTTTGTACGTTTGCACACTGACAAAGAAATTATCAGTCTATAATTATAATGGTAGGTTTATTTGAACAGTGAGAGACAGAATAACAACAACAAAATCCAGAAAAACGCATGTCAAAAATGTTATAAATTGATTTGCATTTTAATGAGGGAAATAAGTATTTGACCCCTCTGCAAAACATGATTAAGTACTTGGTGGCAAAACCCTTGTTGGCAATCACAGAGGTCAGACGTTTCTTGTAGTTGGCCACCAGGTACTTAATCATGCACACATCTCAGGAGGGATTTTGTTCCACTCCTCTTTGCAGATCTTCTCCAAGTCATTAAGGTTTCGAGGCTGACGTTTGGCAACTCGAACCTTCAGCTCCCTACACAGATTTTCTATGGGATTAAGGTCTGGAGACTGGCTAGGCCACTCCAGGACCTTAATGTGCTTCTTCTTGAGCCACTCCTTTGTTGCCTTGGCTGTGTGTTTTGGGTCATTGTCATGCTGGAATACCCATCCACGACCCATTTTCAATGCCCTGGCTGAGGGAAGGAGGTTCTCACCCAAGATTTGACGGTACATGGCCCCGTCCATCGTCCCTTTGATGCGGTGAAGTTGTCCTGTCCCCTTAGCAGAAAAACACCCCCAAAGCATAATGTTTCCACCTCCATGTTTGACGGTGGGGATGTTGTTCTTGGGGTCATAGGCAGCATTCCTCCTCCTCCAAACACGGCGAGTTGAGTTGATGCCAAAGAGCTCGATTTTGGTCTCATCTGACCACAACACTTTCACCCAGTTCTCCTCTGAATCATTCAGATGTTCATTGGCAAACTTCAGACGGCCCTGTACATGTGCTTTCTTGAGCAGGGGGACCTTGCGGGCACTGCATGATTTCAGTCCTTCACTGCGTAGTGTGTTACCAATTGTTTTCTTGGTGACTATGGTCCCAGCTGCCTTGAGATCATTGACAAGATCCTCCCGTGTAGTTCTGGGCTGATTCCTCACCGTTCTCATGATCATTGCAACTCCACGTGGTGAGATCTTGCATGGAGCCCCAGGCTGAGGGAGATTGACAGTTCTTTTGTGTTTCTTCCATTTGCGAATAATCGCACCAACTGTTGTCACCTTCTCACCAAGCTGCTTGGCGATGGTCTTGTAGCCCATTCCAGCCTTGTGTAGGTCTACAATTTTGTCCTTGACATCCTTGGATAGCTCTTTGGTCTTGGCCATGGTGGAGAGTTTGGCATCTGATTGATTGATTGCTTCTGTGGACAGGTGTCTTTTATACAGGTAACAAGCTGAGATTAGGAGCACTCCCTTTAAGAGTGTGCTCCTAATCTCAGCTCGTTACCTGTATAAAAGACACCTGGGAGCCAGAAATCTTTCTGATTGAGAGGGAGTCAAATACTTATTTCCCTCATTAAAATGCAAATCAATTTATAACATTTTTGACGTGTTTTTCTGGATTTTTGTTGTTGTTATTCTGTCTCTCACTGTTCAAATAAACCTAACATTCAAATTATAGACTGATCATTTCTTTGTCAGTGGGCAAACGTACAAAATCAGCAGGGGATCAAATACTTTTTTCCCCTCACTGTAGGTCTATGTGATGTAGTGACAGACATAACAGGGTTTGTTATAATATCATAACATGACTATCAGAATTTGTTGAGGGTTTGTGAGAGGTTGTGGGCTGACCTGTGATGTCGATGGGCTCCAGGGCGAAGGCCTCCTCCTCGTTGTGTACCAGCGTGGTCTGCTCTGTCTGGTCCTGCATGGCGGGCTGGGGCTCTGCTGGGCCTGAGTCTGGGCTGTCTGGACCTCCCGCTACACACACATACCATATAGACATAAACGCAGCAAAAAAAGAAACCTTTTTTCAGGACCATGTCTTTCAAAGATAATTTGTAAAAATCCAAATAACTTCACATATCTTCATTGTAAAGGGTTTAAACACGGTTTCCCATGCTTGTTCAATGAACATGCACCTGTGGAACGGTCGTTAAGACACTAACAGCTTACAGACGGTAGGCAATTAAGGTCATAGTTATGAAAACCTAGGACACTAAAGATGCCTTTCTACTGACTCTGAAAAACGCCAAAAGAAAGATGCCCAGGGTCCCTGCTCATCTGTATGAACGTGCCTTAGGCATGCTGCAAGGAGGCATGAGGACTGCAGATGTGGCCAGGGCAATAAATTGCAATGTCCGTACTGTGAGACGCCTAAGACAGCGCTACAGGGAGACAGGACAGACAGCTGATCGTCCTCGCAGTGGCAGACCACGTGTAACAACACCTGCACAGGATTGGTACATCCGAACATCACACCTGCGGGACAGGTACAGGATGGCAACAACAACTGCCCGAGTTACACCAGGAACGCACAATCCCTCCATCAGTACTCAGACTGTCCGCAATAGGCTGAGAGAGGCTGGACTGAGGGCTTGTAGGCCTGTTGTAAGGCAGGTGCTCACCAGACATCACCGGCAACAACGTTGCCTATGGGCACAAACCCACCGTCGCTGGACCAGACACGACTGGCAAAAAGTGCTCTTCACTGACGCGGTTTTGTCTCACCAGGGGTGATGGTCGGATTCGCGTTTATCGTCGAAGGAATGAGCGTTACACCGAGGCCTGTACTCTGGAGTGGGATCGATTTGGAGGTGGAGGGTCCGTCATGGTCTGGGGCGGTGTGTCACAGCATCATCGGACTGAGCTTGTTGTCATTGCAGGCAATCTCAATGCTGTGCGTTACAGGGAAGACATCCTCCTCCCTCATGTGGTACCCTTCCTGCAGGCTCATCCTGACATAACCCTCCAGCATGACAATGCCACCAGCCATTCTGCTCGTTCTCTGCGTGATTTCCTGCAAGACAGGAATGTCAGTGTTCTGCCATGGCCAGGGAAGAGCCTGGATCTCAATCCCATTGAGCACGTCTGGGACCTGTTGGATCGGAGGGTGAGGGCTAGAAATGTCCGGGAACTTGCAGGTGCCTTGGTGGAAGAGTAGGGTAACATCTCACAGCAAGAACTGGCAAATCTGGTGCAGTCCATGAGGAGAAGATGCACTGCAGTACTTAATGCAGCTGGTGGCCACACCAGATACTGACTGTTACTTTTGATTTTTAACCCCCCCCCTTTGTTCAGGGACACATTATTCAATTTCTGTTAGTCACACGTCTGTGGAACTTGTTCAGTTTATGTCTCAGTTGTTGAATCTTGTTATGTTCATACAAATATTTACACATGTTCAGTTTGCTAAAAATAAACGCAGTTGACAGTGAGAGGACATTTCTTTTTTTGCTGAGTTTATATAAAAACATACAATAACTAATACAAAAGAGTTGGCTAAGACCATGTTGGTCGAAACATTGTTATGGGAACAGCATACAGTGGGGAAAAAAAGTATTTAGTCAGCCACCAATTGTGCAAGTTCTCCCACTTAAAAAGATGAGAGGCCTGTAATTTTCATCATAGGTACACGTCAACTATGACAGACAAAATGAGAATTTTTTTCTCCAGAAAATCACATTGTAGGATTTTTTATGAATTTATTTGCAAATTATGGTGGAAAATAAGTATTTGGTCAATAACAAAAGTTTCTCAATACTTTGTTATATACCCTTTGTTGACAATGACACAGGTCAAACGTTTTCTGTAAGTCTTCACAAGGTTTTCACACACTGTTGCTGGTATTTTGACCCATTCCTCCATGCAGATCTCCTCTAGAGCAGTGATGTTTTGGGGCTGTCGCTGGGCAACACGGACTTTCAACTCCCTCCAAAGATTTTCTATGGGATTGAGATCTGGAGACTGGCTAGGCCACTCCAGGACCTTGAAATGCTTCTTACGAAGCCACTCCTTCATTGCCCGGGCGGTGTGTTTGGGATCATTGTCATGCTGAAAGACCCAGCCACGTTTCATCTTCAATGCCCTTGCTGATGGAAGGAGGTTTTCACTCAAAATCTCACGATACATGGCCCCATTCATTCTTTCCTTTACACGGATCAGTCGTCCTGGTCCCTTTGCAGAAAAACAGCCCCAAAGCATGATGTTTCCACCCCCATGCTTCACAGTAGGTATGGTGTTCTTTGGATGCAACTCAGCATTCTTTGTCCTCCAAATACAACGAGTTGAGTTTTTACCAAAAAGTTATATTTTGGTTTCATCTGACCATATGACATTCCCCCAATCCTCTTCTGGATCATCCAAATGCACTCTAGCAAACTTCAGACGGGCCTGGACATGTACTGGCTTAAGCAGGGGACACGTCTGGCACTGCAGGATTTGAGTCCCTGGCGGCGTAGTGTGTTACTGATGGTAGGCTTTGTTACTTTGGTCCCAGCTCTCTGCAGGTCATTCCCCCCGTGTGGTTCTGGGATTTTTGCTCACCGTTCTTGTGATCATTTTGACCCCACGGGGTGAGATCTTGCGTGGAGCCCCAGATCGAGGGAGATTATCAGTGGTCTTGTATGTCTTCCATTTCCTAATAATTGCTCCCACAGTTGATTTCTTCAAACCAAGCTGCTTACCTATTGCAGATTCAGTCTTCCCAGCCTGGTGCAGGTCTACAATTTTGTTTCTGGTGTCCTTTGACAGCTCTTTGGTCTTGGCCATAGTGGAGTTTGGAGTGTGACTGTTTGAGGTTGTGGACAGGTGTCTTTTATACTGATAACAAGTTCAAACAGGTGCCATTAATACAGGTAACGAGTGGAGGACAGAGGAGCCTCTTAAATAAGAAGTTACAGGTCTGTGAGAGCCAGAAATCTTGCTTGTTTGTAGGTGACCAAATACTTATTTTCCACCATAATTTGCAAATAAATTCATTAAAAATCCTACAATGTGATTTTCAGGAAATTTTTTTCCTCAATTTGTCTGTCATAGTTGACGTGTACCTATGATGAAAATTACAGGCCTCTCATCTTTTTAAGTGGGAGAACTTGCACAATTGGTGGCTGACTAAATACTGTTTTCCCCCACTGTATGGTAAGTGTTGCAACTTACGTGAGAGGGCATCAAATTCATCTTCGTCATCGTGTTCCTGCAGCCTCAGCACGCTCTCGGTGATGGCGGGAGGGTCATCAAAAATGCCACCCCCATCCTCGTTACTGAGGAGCTTGTCAACTAGAAACAGGCAGGAGAGTGGCAATGCTCAGCAGGAGTTAAAGTTGCAATAATTCACTTTTTGGGAGAACTAACAAAATTCACATAGAAATTTTAGTTAAAGATCTATCATTAATTGAAAGCAAGTCTAAAAAACAGTATCTGTTCTATGTGCGCTATTTGTATGCTTCCCGTCCTTAAGTTTAGTTTTTGCGTCTTTTACTTTCAGTTTTGTACACCAGCTTCAACAGCTGAAAATACAATATTTTTGGTTATGGAAAATATATTTCACAGCGGGTTAGATGGTACAATGATTCTCTACACTATACTTGCATGTTTTGTCACATAAACTGAAATTGGGCGAACTATTTGAATTTTAGCAACCAGGAAATGGCGGAGCGATTTCTGCATAGAGCGTCTTTAAAACCTTAGCAAACGGGCCTCCCGAGCGGCGCAGCGTTCTAAGACACTGCATCACAGTGTTGCAGCATCACTACAGCCTGGGGTTCGATGTGTCATAACTGGCTGTGACCGGGAGTCCCATAGGGCAGCGCACAATTGGCCCAGCGTCGTCCGGGTTAGGGGAGGGTTTGGCCGGTGGGGTTTTACTTGGCTCATCGCGCTCTAGCTACTCCTTGTGGCGGGCCGGGCGCCTGCAGGCTGACTTCGATCGTCAGTTGAACGGTGTTTCATCCGACACATTAAGTTAAGCGAGCAGGTGTTAAGAAGCACGGCTTGGCGGGTCATGTTTCGGAGGACGCAACCTTCGCCTCTCCCGTTGGAGAGTTGCAGCGATGAGACAAGATCGTAATCACGAAATTGGGGGAAAAAAGGGAGTAAAATTTGTAAAAAAATGTTTTACAATATAAATGTTTTTTTTCTCTCCAGGGTTTTGATTAAATCTGTATCGCTTAAGTTATTGCGCAATTGAAATTGTAAATAGTTTGGAACAGTTTGTGCATATATTCTGACAACATTTTGTGACGTTTTTGTTCTTTCTGGTCTTCAGCAAGGGTTTTTTCGGCTGTTCGTGCACACACAAAAACTTCTTGAGGCAAGTTGAAGTCTGTAGCCGAAGTCTACACCTTTTCGTCGGTCACTGGTCAACAGTAGGGACTCTTCAATTAAGTGTTTGTTGTCATTCAACAAGAGACTAAAATCGGTTTCATGCAAATGTTTTCACTTCAGAAATACTGCATCTTAGTTAGATGTAACATTGCGCGACTAAGATCTCCTCGGCACCAACGTCAAAATGAATGACATATTTCTCGAGTTATCTTAGATTAGATCTGGCTACGGCATCTCAAGATGGATGAACAGTACTATTGACACTAAGGTCTATTAACTAAGGTTTATTAAGGGAGTATGCAATCACACTCGTTCCGTTCATCTAGCCGAATTCAGCTAGGCGCCAGCCGAACTGAAGCATGCGGAAGGCTTTACCATAACTGCAGTCTCCACTGACGCGGGAACATTGCCTTTAAATTTCTATCGCGCTGTATGTAGCGCAGCTCTTCAGTGCTACAGATTGAATGAAGCCCCAGGGCTACCTTAGCAAACAGGGTTTTTAGACCGGATACATTTATTATGTAAACAATCGATTGGCCACATTAGTCATGGAGAAGGCAAGGACTATGTCCCAATTATATCTCCTCCCTCCCACACCTGTGCACACTTCAGGAGGAAGGAGATATAATTGGGACATAGTCCTTGCCTTCTCCATGACTAATGTGGCCAATAACAGAATTTGGTCATAGCCCAACTCAGGTTATGCTTCCTTCCTTCCTTCCTTCCTTCCTTCTTACCCAGCATGCCTCCTTCGCTGTCAGCCATGGGGTCCTCTCCGAAGTCGTCTTTGTACTGGTCGTCGTACTCCAGGTGGTTGGACTTGTCTGGGATCTGGGCCTCCGAGGTCTCTGGGTCTAGGAGCAGGTTGGAGGCTGATGCATCGTGGATGATGTCCACCTCGAAGGCACTCTCTTCCCGCATCATCTCCCGGTCGTCCATCCCAAAGTCAGCTGGAGGGGAAAAAACACTGAATATGTTAGAATGAGTTTTCGCAAGTACAGTGAGGGAAAAAGTATTTGATCCCCTGCTGATTTTGTACGTTTGCCCACTGACAAAGAAATGATCAGTCTATAATTTTAATGGTAGGTTTATTTGAACAGTGAGAGACAGAATAACAACAACAAAATCCAGAAAAACGCATGTCAATAATGTTATAAATTGATTTGCATTTTAATGAGAATCCAGAAAAACGCATGTCAATAATGTTATAAATTGATTTGCATTTTAAATGAGAGAAATAAGTATTTGACCCCCTCTCAATCAGAAAGATTTCTGGCTCCCAGGTGTCTTTTATACAGGTAACAAGCTGAGATTAGGAGCACACTCTTAAAGGGAGTGCTCCTAATCTCAGTTTGTTACCTGTATAAAAGACACCTGTCCACAGAAGCAATCAATCAATCAGATTCCAAACTCTCCACCAAGGCCAAGACCAAAGAGCTCTCCAAGGATGTCAGGGACAAGATTGTAGACCTACACAAGGCTGGAATGGGCTACCAGACCATCGCCAAGTAGCTTGGTGAGAAGGTGACAACAGTTGGTGCGATTATTTGCAAATGGAAGAAACACAAAAGAACTGTCAATCTCCCTCGGCCTGGGGCTCCATGCAAGATCTCACCTCGTGGAGTTGCAATGATCATGAGAACGGTGAGGAATCAGCCCAGAACTACACGGGAGGATCTTGTCAATGATCTCAAGGCATAGTCACCAAGAAAACAATTGGTAACACACTACGCCGTGAAGGACTGAAATCCTGCAGCGCCCGCAAGGTCCCCCTGCTCAAGAAAGCACATACACGTCTGAAGTTTGCCAATGAACATCTGAATGATTCAGAGGAGAACTGGGTGAAAGTGTTGTGGTCAGATAAGACCAAAATTGAGTTCTTTGGCATCAACTCAACTTGCCGTGTTTGGAGGAGGAATGCTGCCTATGACCCCAAGAACACCATCCCCACCGTCAAACATGGAGGTGGAAACATTATGCTTTGGGGGTATTTTTCTGCTAAGGGGACATGACAACTTCACAGCATCAAAGGGACGATGGACGGGGCCATGTACTGTCAAATCTTGGGTGAGAACCTCCTTCCCTCAGCCAGGGCATTGAAAATGGGTCGTGGATGGGTATTCCAGCATGACAATGACCCAAAACACACAGCCAAGGCAACAAAGGAGTGGCTCAAGAAGACACACATTAAGGTCCTGGAGTGGCCTAGCCAGTCTCCAGACCTTAATCCCATAGAAAATCTGTGGCGGGAGCTGAAGGTTCAAGTTGCCAAACGTCAGCCTCGAAACATTAATGACTTGGAGAAGATCTGCAAAGAGGAGTGGGACAAAATCCCTCCTGAGATGTGTGCAAACCTGGTGGCGAACTACAAAAGAACGTCTGACCTCTGTGATTGCCAACAAGGGTTTTGCCACCAAGTACTAAGTCATGTTTTGCAGAGGGGTCAAATACTTATTTCCCTCATTAAAATGCAAATCAATTTATAACATTTTTGACATGCGTTTTTCTGGATTTTTTTGTTGATATTCTGTCTCTCACTGTTCAAATAAACCTACCATTAAAATTATAGACTGATAATTTCTTTGTCAGTGGGCAAACGTACAAAATCAGCAGGGGATCAAATACTTTTCCCTCACTGTATATGTACAGCAGTAATGAGTGGCGGGCTTTGTCACACTAGGAAGGGAGGAGTTTGGAATGGGATGGAATAGGCTGGAGTATGGGTGCATTTCAATATATATGAAACCATGGTAAAAACATGGTAGACCACTACCAAGCATTTGCTATTGCCTATCCATATCAGTGCAGATGAGGTAAGGAGATGAAGAAAGGAGCCACTACAGACTATTGAGATGCAGCCAAGGTTTAGTTTGAGGAGTGAGATGGTGAAAGGATTGGAATGGGAGGCCTGGCTACGTACCAAAGTCATTCTCCTGCAGCAGGCTCAGGTTGCCCACCTCCTCCCTCATGGTGATCTCTTCCACTCGACTCTGGTTCAGTGTGAACTGCTTGGTTACGTCGATGTCGCTGCAAAGACAACATAAATCACTACCACTATGCAATATCAGTAAGAGCATACAGAACAATGCCTATTCCCCTGCAGGAGACTGAAAATATTTGGCATGGGTCCTCAGATCCTCAACAAGTTATACTGCTGCACCATCGAAAGCATCCTGACTGGTTGCATCACCGCCTGGTATGGCAACTGCTCTGCATCCGACCGCAAGGCGCTACAGAGGGTAGTGCGTACGGCCCAGTACCTCACTGGGGCCAAGCTTCCTGCCATCCAGGGACCTCTGTACCAGGCGGTGTCAGAGGAAGGCCCTAAAAATTGTCATAGACTGTTCTTTCTGCTACCGCACGGCAAGCGGTACCGGAGCGCCAAGTCTGGGTCCAAAAGGCTCCTTAACAGCTTCTACCCCCAAGCCATAAGACTGCTGAACAGTTAATCAAAGGGCTACGCAGACTATTTGCATTGACCCCCCCTTTTTTTTTTACACTGCTGCTACTCACTGTTTATTATTATCAATGCATAATCACTTTACCCCTATCTACAGTACCAGTCAAAAGTTTGGACTACTCATTCAAGGGTTTTTCTTTATTTTTTTACTATTTTCAACATTGTAGAATAATAGTGAAGACAGCAAAACTCAATAACACATATGGAATCATGTAGTATCAAAAATATACACTACCTGTCAAAAGTTTTAGAACATCTACTCATTCAAGGGTTTTTCTTTATTTTTACTATTTTCTACATTGTAGAATAATAGTGAAGACAGCAAAACTCAATAACACATATGGAATCATGTAGTAACCAAAAAAAAAGTGTTAAACAAATCAAAATACATTTTTGATTCTTCAAAGCAGCCACCCTTTGCCTTGATGACAGCTTTGCACACTCTTGGCATTCTCTCAACCAGCTTCATGAGGAATGCTTTTCCAACAGTCTTGAAGGAGTTCCCACATATGCTGAGCACTTGTTGACTGCTTTTCGTTCACTTTGCGGTCCAACTCATCCCAAACGGGTTGAGGTCGGGTGATTGTGGATGCCAGGTCATCTGATGCAGCACTCCATCACTCTCCTTGGTCATATTGCCCTTACACAGCCTGGAGGTGTGTTTTGGGTCATTGTCCTGTTGAAAAACAAATGATAGCGCAAGCCAGATGGGATGGCATATCGCTGCAGAATGCTGTGGTAGCCATGCTGGTTAAGTGTGCCTTGAATTCTAAATAAATCCCAGACAGTGTCACCAGCAAAGCACCCTGACACCATAACCACCTCCTCCATGCTTCACGGTGGGAACCTAACATGCGGAGATCATCCGTTCACCTACTCTGCGTCTCACAAAGACACGGCGGTTGGAACCAAAAATCTCAAATTTGGACTCATCAGACCAAAGGACAGATTTCCACTGGTCTAAAGTCCATTCCTCGTGTTTTTGGCCCAAGCAAGTCTCTTCTTCTTATTGGTGTCCTTTAGTAGTGGTTTCTTTGCAGCAATTCAACCATGAAGGCCTGATTCATGCAGTCTCCTCTGAACAGTTGATGTTGAGATGTGTCTGTTACTTGAACTCTGTGAAGCATTTATTTGGGCTGCAATCTGAGGTGCAGTTAACTGTGATTGACTTAACCTCTGCAGCAGAAGGTCTTCCTTTCCTGTGGCGGTCCTCATGAGAGCCAGTTTCATCATAGCGCTTGATGGTTTTTGCGACTGCACTTGAAGAAATGTTCAAAGGTCTTGAAATGAACCAGATTGACTGACCTTCATGTCTTAAAGTAATGATGGACTGTTGTTTCTCTTTGCTTATTTGAGCTGTTCTTGCCATAATATGGACTTGGTCTTTTACCAAATAGGGACATCTTCTGTATACCACCCCTACCTTGTCACAACACAACTGATTGTCTCAAACGCATTAAGAAGGAAATACATTCCACAAATTAACAAGGCACACCTGTTAATTTAAATGCATTCCAGGTGACTATAATATGCCATTTAGCAGACGCTTTTATCCAAAGCGACTTACAGTCATGCGTGCATAAATTTTTTGTGTATGGGTGGTCCCGGGGATCGAACCCACTACCTTGGCGTTACAAGCGCCGTGCTCTACCAGCTGAGCTACAGAGGACCACATGACTACCTCATGAAGCTGGTTGAGAGAATGCTAAGCGTGTGCAAAGCTGTCATCAAGGCAAAGGGTGGCTTCTTTGAAGAATCAAAAATATACACTACCTGTCAAAAGTTTTAGAACATCTACTCATTCAAGGGTTTTTCTTTATTTTTACTATTTTCTACATTGTAGAATAATAGTGAAGACATCAAAACTATGAAATAACATATATGGAATCATGTAGTAACCAAAAAAAGTGTTAAACAAATCAAAATATATTTTTGATTCTTCAAAGTAGCTACCTTTTGCCTTGATGACAGCTTTGCACACTCTTGGCATTCTCTCAACCAGCTTCATGAGGTAGTCACCTGGAATGCCTTTCAATTAACAGGTGTGCCTTGTTAATTTGTGGAATCTATTTCCTTCTTAATGCGTTTGAGACAATCAGTTGTGTTGTGACAAGGTAGGGGTGGTATACAGAAGATGTCCCTATTTGGTAAAAGACCAAGTCCATATTATGGCAAGAACAGCTCAAATAAGCAAAGAGAAACAACAGTCCATCATTACTTTAAGACATGAAGGTCAGTCAATCTGGTTCATTTCAAGACCTTTGAACATTTCTTCAAGTGCAGTCGCAAAAACCATCAAGCGCTATGATGAAACTGGCTCTCATGAGGACCGCCACAGGAATGGAAGGCCCAGAGTTACCTCTGCTGCAGAGGATAAATTCATTAGAGTTACCAGCCTCAGAAATTGCAGCCCAAATAAATGCGTCACAGAGTTCAAGTAACAGACATCTCAACATCAACTGCTCAGAGGAGACTGCATGAATCAGGCCTTCATGGTCGAATTGCTGCAAAGAAACCACTACTAAAGGACACCAATAAGAAGAAGAGACTTCCTTGGGCCAAGAAACACGAGCAATGGACTTTAGACCGGTGGAAATCTGTCCTTTGGTCTGGAGTCCAAATTGGAGATTTTTGGTTCCAACCGCCGTGTCTTTGTGAGAAGCGGTGTGGGTGAACGGATGATCTCCGCATGTGTAGTTCCCACCGTAAAGCATGGAGGAGGAGGTGTTATGGTGCTTTGCTGGTGACACTGTCTGTGATTTATTAAGAAATCAAGGCACACTTATCCAGCATGGCTACCACAGCATTCTGCAGCGATACGCCATCCCATATGGTTTGGGCTTAGTGGGACTATTATTTGTTTTTCAATAGGACAATGACCCAACACACCTTAAGGCTGTGTAAGGGCTATTTTACCAAAGAGACTGATGGAGTGCTTCACCAGTTGACCTGGCCTCCACAATCCCCCGACCTCAACCAAATTGAGATGGTTTGGGATGAGTCGGTCCACAGAGTGAAGGAAAAGCAGCCAAAATGTGCTCAGCATATGTGGGAACTCCTTCAAGACTATTGGAAAAGCCTTTACATTTTAGTCATTTTGCGACTTACAGTTAGTGAGTGCATACATTTTCATACTGCCCCCCCGTGGGAATCGAACCCACAACCCTGTGCAAAGCTGTCATCAAGGCAAAGGGTGGCTATTTGAAGAATCTCAAATATAAAATATATTTTGATTTGTTTAACACTTTTTTGGTTACTACATGATTCAATATGTGTTATTTCATAGTTTTGATATCTTCACTATTATTCTACAATGTAGAAAATAGTAAAAATAAAGAAAACCCTGGAATGAATAGGTGTGTCCTAACTTTTGACTGGTACTGTATATATGACCTCAATTTCCTTGACTAACCTGTACCCTTGCACATTGACTCATTACCGGTACCCCCTGTATATAGCCTCGTTATTGTTATTTTATTGTGTAACTTTTTATTAAACTTTCGTTTATTTAACAAATATTTTCTCACTCTGCACTGTTCGTTAAGGGTTGTAAGTACGCATTTCACGGTAAGGTCTACTACACCTGTAGTTTTCGGCTCATGTGACAAATCTAATTTAATGCGAACATATACATCAATGGAGACACAGCACTTATCAATGCTACATGACAAATCTCAAAAAACATATTTAAACTTGTTGGGCTCTGATGACATGCAGGACTCACTCTAGGTCTGGTAGTGGCTGGTCGAAGTCGTGGAACTCTTCTGGCATGGTGATGGCGTTGTAGGCAGCTTCTCTGTTCTCCTCTGGCAGATCCACCACACCTGAGAGAGGACAGGGATGGAGGCAGGGGTCAGGCCAGCTAAATCCCACATAGTACACAGCCATAACATCTACCAACAATGTTAATACTGTCTAGCAGCCCAGTGTGCCTCTCACAAGTTTCATATTGGGACCCTTTTCAGGAGCCCCAATTTTAGTACATTCAACGGTATATGCCAAGACCAACTAACAGTAAAATGAAGATTTAAAGGAGATGGCTGTTGAGCCAAACTGTAACTCCCGAGTTTTGAATGTAAACCAACAAAGAAGATGTTGGACCCGTCAAGCCCCCTAGCCAATACATTACCTGGTCTGAAGGCCATCTTGATCTTGATGAACGCCTCGTTACAGTCAGCCAACAAGTACTTGGCTTTCCTGTTGTAGATCCTCACCACCCCCAGGAGTAGATGACCTGACGTACGCAGGGCCATTTTCACCTGGACAAATAAAGAATAAGAAATAATGTAATATAATCTAACACTGTGTTCAGAAATACACTTACCCACTATGGCAAGATAATTCTCCTCAAATCAACATCTACAACTCTAGTACACTCATCCGCCAAGCCCTGACCCACAGCCACTGAGTTGAAAATTGACCCTCTTCTACTGGTTCACGCAACACTAGTCTGTCAAAGTACCCTTACAGCAGCATTACTCTAGTGGAGACTACTCTAGTGGAGACTAGAGAGTGAAGCACATGATAGAAACACATAATAGAAGCCCTGTATGGATGATAGCTTGTTTACCTTGGGGCAGATGATGCTCTCCACACTGCTCTCCAGGTTGCATTCAAACACATGAGCCTTGGTGAGCTTCTTATCCCAGTGGGCCGCTAGCCAGATCTTGGCCAGCGGCCCACGCTTGCTGAGGACAAAGTGGGCGTAAAACATTGTCCCTTCTCACCTAAGGGGAGGGGGGGATGGGGTACGGGACGACGACAACTTGCAGGGACAAAGGTTAGAAACTGCAGTTAGAAAAAACTTGCAGTCACAAGAAGTGATACACTTTCATGGTCATATTGAATAAGTTATGATTGGACTTTCAGAAATACATTTTTCAAAAGCCATGCATTAACCGTCATTTTTATACTACACTGCATTCCTCAATATCTGTCACAGTAACATTTGCCTGTGTCATCAGTCCTCGCTGCTGGCAGACCAACAACTCTCTCACACTTTATTCCATGACGAAAGTGCGTTGTGGATAAATGTTAATCAAATGAATTCATAACAATGATTGAATACTCAGAAATTAAAATAAGTAATTAAATAAATAAAAAATGGGGCAATTTTGTGATTTGTTTACCTGACCGAATAATTTACCGCTACATCTGTCAAGCTAACTAGCTACTAGTAGCAACTGAGGCTCAATCTGGGCGCTGTTCTGATCTTTTAGTACCGTCCATGTGGAGGGAGGCGGAGGTTTTGTTTTCGTCTCGAGACTGACAGAGTTTGTTTTCGTAAATTGAACAACATACGGTACTCATTAAACACATCATAACATTTATTAACAATGCACAACTAGCTCAGTTGTCAAAAAGTATGAATACAACTAAGTGAGTTAGGAAGCCAATCGTTTGGATTGTAAAAAAAAAGACTAAATACAAACGGGTCCTCGGCGCGAGCCCAACAGTCCTGATATCTAGCTTTGGAGGTTTTGCAGGAGACGTGAGCGCCACAATGATCCGAATTTATTTGGATACATATTTGTACGTTTTGGTACAATATTGCGTTCCAGTTTAATAAACAAACGTGAAGCTAAATACTAAATTCTAGGCTAGCTAATGTTACCGACCAGTGTGTGCGACGTAATCAACAACCCCTGTCATTTCCAAAACAGAGCGCGTATTCTGATAAGATTTTTGGTTCGTGTATAATTTTTATTTTATTTATATAACATGCAAAACATTAGCTTCATTCCAGTAGTTCAAAGTATATTGAAAATGTAATCAACTCACCAATTACGCTCCAATTGTAGTAATGTTTTTGGCCGCAATACTGTAGTTTACTTTTTCCACCCCCTCCTCTTCCATGTTGCCAACTCCTCAGTAAGGAAAGTAGCTATTGGCTGTCCTAAAAGTCGCTAAATGACGCCATCACCTAATTTACATAATTGGCAATATGTATGTAATTTTGATGGACTCTGTGGGAGAGACAAAAAGTGAGTAAAAAACACCATACATTTACATCCCGCCCTGAATGTAAGCCAGGGCGGGATCAGCCAGCGGCCGCTTGCCGCATGCGCAGTCTGGACGCGGAGGGGTGAACATCTCCTCCTCTGACTGCAGCGCGAGGACTGGGCCGCCTGTGAGTGCTTTGGGACGGGGTAATAAAGCACCCGCTGCTCGTTGAGAAGAGTAAGAACGATACGTGCTTTCACGTCATTCTCCAAAAGTCTCCAATAACACCAGAAAAAGTCGCTAGTCGCTTTTTTGAAAATATGTCGCTAAGGGGGTCTGAAAACTCGTTAAATATAGCGACAAAGTCGCTAACTTAGCAACACTGCCTCTTCCTCCTCCCATTGAAAACACACAAGATGGCACCGAACTGTTTTGGTCTCTTCCACATGCAAGTATGTGTCAACAGAAGTGGGAGGATCAACAGTTGTTTTGCTGTTTCTTAATATATGCCATTTAGCAGACGCTTTTATCCAAAGCGACTTACAGTCATGCGTGCATAATTTTTTTTTGTGTATGGGTGGTCCCGGGGATCGAACCCACTACCTTGGCGTTACAAGCGCCGTGCTCTACCAGCTGAGCGTTTGTATTGGTCAGTTCCCGACCATGTGAAACAAGACTGGGAGAGCTAAAAGGCACAAAAGTATTGATAGAGAATCATACTGTGGCATTTGAATGTTAACAAAACACAACAAACTCCTCACTAAATATGAAAATAAAAGTAATTTTGAAGTCGGTTATTAGTCTACCAGTTTTTAATTTATCACCAATAAAACTTCGGCTATCATCTGATGATGACAAGTACATTGTTTTTTGTGAATAAGGCTCATTACAATTACTCATGTATAATTGGGCAGCAAACAGCCTACAGGTTTTTGAATTTACTAATAAATCTATGTTTGATTGTTATAACCAGGGGTGAAAGTAGATTTCTTCCCGGTACGGACCTCCTGTGTGTGCACGCGCGTGCGCCACAAAAAAATTTATGGGGTGGCAGAACCGCCCTGTTCGTTCTGCCGCCCTAAGAGAGACAAAAAATTGACACCCCTTCCTATCTGCCGCCCTAGCCGAGACAAAAAATTGCCGCCCCCTTCCTATCCCCGCTAAACTAGAATATTGTACAGCAGGGATCGGCAATATGTTTTTTCTCAGCTAATAGTCGGCAGAAAATAACATAATAGCAGCCCCATTCATAGGCCTAAACTACAAATTAATCCATTTGGAACACATCTGGTTAGTAGGCTATATAATCAGTTCAATGTCAATAACATATCCTAATATTTTCAATCTGATTACACTGATAAAATCACCAGTGTCTCTATAAATTAGTTTTTTATATTTATTTGTGCTTTGATTGGGGAAAAGGAGCTTGCAAACAAGAGAAAATGTCACTCTGAAAAAGTCTCAGAAGAAATGTGGATAATGAAAATAGAAGTTTCAGGGAAGAATGGACAAAGAAATGGGTATTCTTACCATATTTCTCTAATGTCAAACCAGAGCAACGAAATGATTGCTGTTTGCAAATAATGTACTCCTGAGTGGCGCAGTGGTCTAAGGCACTGCATCGCAGTGCTAACTGTGCCACTAGAGATCCTGGTTCGAATCCAGGCTCTGTCACAGCTGGCCGTGACCGGGAGACTCATGGGCTGCGCACAATTGGCCCAGGGTAGGGGAGGGAATGGCCGGCAGGGATGCAGTTGATAGAGCAATGGCGTTTGCAACGCCAGGGTTGTGGGTTCGATTCCCACGGGGGGCCAGTATAAAAAAATATGTATTCACTAACTGTAAGTCGCTCTGGATAAGAGCGTCTGCTAAATGACTTAAATGTAAATGTAATGAAATATTAAACATCCTTATGAAATTAAGCATGGCACTTTCAAAAGTTACCTTTCCACCAAGACAGACGCTCGACTGACACAATGTAAGCTTCAACTGCTGGCTTCTCGTCTGTTGCTTAACCCAACAACAGAAGTGAATTTTAAAGCTTGTTTCTAGCACAATGGATCACGGATTACGCATATATATAGAACGTTTTATATTATCTGGATACTTTTTATTTATTTATTTCAAAATATAAAGCTAACAATAGGTATCCTTTTTGCCCTTTTCTTTAAGAAAGGGTATGGCATACCCTCACTCAATTTGAGCCCTGGTTTTAACCAAACACACCAAGCCCTTGCCAGACACTAAGGTATTTAAGCAATCTGGTCTCAGAGCATTTCGTATTATTCTGTATGTAAATCTGTGACACTCCATTTACTATGATACACTGTATATATACAAAAGTATGTGGACAATTTCAGCCACACCTGTTGCTGACAGGTGTATAAAATCAAGCACACAGCCATGCAATCTCCATAGACAAACATTGACAGTAGAATGGCCTTACTGAAGAGCTCAGTGACTTTCAACGTGGCACCGTCATAGATTGCCACCTTTCCAACAAGTCAGTTTATACAATTTCTGCCCTGCTAGAACTGCCCCGGTCAACTGTAAGTGCTGTTATTGTGAGTGAAGTGGAAACGTCTAGGAACAACAACGGCTCAGCCACGAAGTGGTAGGCCACACAAGCTCACAGAACGGGACCGCTGAGTTCTGAAACGCATAGCACGTACAAATTCCCCCAACATCAGTGCCTGACCTCACTAATGCTCTTGTGGCTGAAGCCTTCCCAGAAGAGTGGAGGCTGATATAGCAGCAAAGGGGGGACCAACTCCATATGAATGCCCATGATTTTGGAATGAGATATTCGTTGAGCAGGTGTCCACATACATTTGGTAATGAAGTGTATATGTGTATATATACCTTTTACTTATTTTTTATTTATTTTTATCTCTGCCTCTCGGGTCCTCTACGGGCTTGGGCCCAGGGGCTTCCCTGTAAAGCCCCTGCGTTAATTCAGCCATGGTCAAAGCAATAGTGTGAAAAGTCTGGACAACACCTCCCTCTCTCTTTCCTTCTCTCTCTCTCTTGTGTCTCCAATTAATGTCACTCCCGGCTCTTACTGACACCTACCCATGAGCCCCCTCTCTTTCCATTTTACTGTAAGCAGCATCCTCACCCACTGAGCACCGACCGAAATTTGGTCAGTCTGTCCTGGCCTTGATTTCAACATCCACAGACATCGTTTTTTGATCCGGTCCAGACAAGCCTTGATTTCAACGTCCACAGACGTCTGGACCAGACTTAAATTGGCCCAAACATAGACGTCCATGATTGGTTCCTGACCGGACCAAATCTGCACCAATCATATATGTCTATGTTTCACAAGTTTGGACAGCACAGTACATTACAGTACAGTAGAGCACAGTAGAGTACCATACTGTAAAGAAAAGTAGAGTATAGTTCAGTACAGTACAATAGAGTGGAGTAGAGTTCAGTACAGTACACAGTGGGTCACACTAGAGTTGAGTACACTATAATGTACTGTACTGTACTGTACTGAACTATACTACCGTTCAAAAGTTTGGGGTCACTTAGAAATGTCCTTGTGCCATTTTTTTGTCCATTAAAATAACATCAAATTGATCAGAAATACAGTGTAGACATTGTTAATGTAGTAAATGGCTATTGTAGCTGGAAATGGCTGATTTTTTATGGAATATCTACATAGGCGTACAGAGGCCCATTATCAGCAACCATCAGTCCTGTGTTCCAATGGTACGTTGTGTTTGCTAATCCAAGTTTATCATTTTAAAAGGCTAATTGATCATT